TCCCGGGAATGTATTCCGCTTAAACCGAGATATTGCGATCCAGGCAGAATTGTCAGAATTCCTTTGCCAGTTCTGCCAAAACCATGGACCTTGTGCCTCCGAGCGAACTGCCAAAACATTGTCCATATGTAAAAGGATGGTGCAGTTGGTTGACACCCCTAATAGACTCTGAAGTACAAACGAGTCTGCCAGTAGTTCGAAAGAAAATGATGTGAAACCCCTGTTCGTTTAGGGACCATTTCCCTCCGGTGGAAAAAGGACCGCAGCACGCGCCCCAACCGAGCATGCTTGCATCAGACTCTGGGGCAGGCCCAAAGATTGCTCGTCCGTTCCCCACCTTCCATGTGCTACAGCCACCAATTGAGTTCTTCTTTGGCTGAGCAGTCGAGAGGAACAGAGTATGAATAAGAGTGCCCCAAACGAAGGTGTTTTGCTTTTAAGAGTTGAAGGGCTCTGTAATGAAGTGTACCTGGAAAAATGGCCTGGATTGAGAGAAGGCCAATGATACTGGCTAGTTGCCTCTGTGTAAGAACAGGACGTGCCAGTGTTCGATGGATTTCCTTCTTTATGGCTTTGACCTTGGAAGGTGGCAGTAGGAGAGCCCCCCGTCCGGAATTGATGGTGAAACCAAAGAAATCCATGGACTGGGAGGGTTCGAGGATCGACTTGTCCTTTTTGATAAGGAAGCCCAGATTGCCTAGTAAAGTCAGTGCCCAACCGAGGTGTTTGCGGATTATGTGAGGGTCCTGCACCTTCACGAGTATATCGTCCAAGTATATAATCAGATGAACCCCTCTGCTTTGTAGGAGGGAAACCACTGGTTTCATTAGTTTTATGAAGCACCAAAGGGCGAATGAGAGTCCAAAGGGCAGGCAACTGAAACATCACATGATCCTCTCCCACCGGAAATGCTAGCAGTCCTTGGCCATCGGAACTGTGAGGTATGTGTCTTGCAGGTCGAGCTTGACCATCCCATCCCCCAGCCGGAGTAGGTCTCGGAGGGGGTGAATACCTTCCATCTTGAAATGGTGGTATGCAACAAATGCGTTTAGGGGGCGTAGATTAATGACCGGTTAGGTACGACGAAGAGATTGCTTGGGAACCCCGGGGCGTGTGAATGCATCTCTGAGACTGCGCCTTTTGTTGCGAGAGACTGTATCTCTGCTGCTACTAAGGACCGGTCATGTGAAGCAAAAACAATTTGGTTGGGTAGGCACATTTGAACAGAGTATTGTATGAAATCTATGGAATAACCCAGAACGGTTTGTAGGACCCACAAGTCCGAAGTTAACATGCGCCAGGCATTTACAAAATGATGAGTTGGTTTTAGGCTCAGGAACTTGGAATCAGGAGTGCATGGAGCCTTGGAAACCTCGGTACGTGCCCCAGGAGGAGTGGCCGGGCAGACGGCCCCCGATATTTGCCGGCACCACCATAAACTCTTTTAAGGCTTGCACCTTATCGAGTGCAGTAAAAGTCCCCACATATGTGCCAAGTTCCTTCACAAAATTGTCCCCAAAACGGAGGCCTTTTGCCTGTGGCCAGGCTCAGATATAGCAAAATTCACCAACTTTGGTTGATCCTAATAAAGATTGCCTAACTTCTCTTAGTGGCCAAAGCCGTATTGGCATTGCCAATCAAACAGACGGATCTAACCCCTGATGGCCAGGAAATCTGTAGGAGTACCACCTGCCATTTCGACCATGTTGAATATTTTAGCACTGGGTCGAAGGACGTCCAGTACTTTGCCTTGGTAATTACATAAAGAAAAATCTAGGCCTTTCCAGTTCTTCCACACTGTTTTACCCAGAAATTGGGCAATTTTTGGGTCTACGTCTTGGGTGACGCATGCCAAATCAGGAATCGTGGGATGTGGGCATTCAGTCTGAAGTTTATTCCTTGCCACTTTATCAAGTGGCTTCCTGATATGTGCAGTGATATACTTCGCCACGTGATCCAAAGGGTACTACTCCGAAGATCTCGAATGTTGTAGTGCATCAAGACCAAAAAGTGATTCACCCTGAGGGTCGAGGAGGGTGAAATCCTCCCCACCGACTTTAAGGTCAGTCCCAGACATGGATAAAAAAAAAAAACGTAATAAAAAATTGTAAGAGTCCTTGTAATTGGACTTGCTCAGGTCCTCCTCCTGTTCCGATTCAGAATCGGATGATTCGATTAGAGCTTTTGCCCTTTTCCACCTCCTCACCGATTTTGCCCGGTGGGTGGTTCTTTGTTGTGGTGCAACCACATCATCTGTGACAGGACGTTCCCTGTCCGATTGTACTGTTTAGGATGCGTCCTCGTTTAGGTGACGGGATTTTTTGGCCACTTTGCGCCCACCAGTAGTAACTGGTTTATTCTTTATTCTGGGTTAGGAGAAATGTGGGTAGATTTCCGATAGGTGGACATAAGGGCATGGGTAATAGAGTGAACGTGTCCGACATGGCCTCCATGTCACTGACTTAGCCATAGTAGCGTCCAGGAGGGAATGAAGCTCTTCTGAGTTAATTTGCTCCTGCGAAGCTTTGCCTACATTAGTCAGGCTAGGGGGTTTAGATACCACCTGGGGTGTAAGGTGTCTACTGACACTAGAGGAAAAACCATTAGTGGCAGTTTCCAAGTCTTTCTGTGATTGCATTATAAAGTGCAAAGTACAGAACACACAAAAGGGGGTAACAATGGCAGAACAAAAAACAAAGAGGGACAATGTAAGACTCCTAGAGATCCTAGTACAGTGCAAATTCAGTAGCACAGGCAAGGCAGGGGATACCCCCACTGATCACCAATATAAACACAGATGACAATATGAAAAAGGCAAGCTCACCGAGTGTTCCATTAGAAATGGCCCCTGGGGAGCACCAGTGAGCTTCCAAGTTACTGGCACCCGCCCCCAAACTTGTACGAAATATCCGTGAAACGCAGCAAAATTGCCAACCCCAATATAGCCGCCGCAATGCACACAACGTGAGTGGAGCTGCGGACCAGCCGGACTGATAGAGAATCTCGGAGTGGGGTTGTGAGACACCAGGATGGAGAGAGCACGTGACACTGCAAACTGCCCCAGAACGTCAGGTTATAAACAACCGATCAATGAGCACAGAGAGGAGGGGGAGGGAAGGGAAGAATGAGGGAGAAACACAAGAGCCAACAGAGCTCACTGGCAGATCCTGGGGGGGGAGGCAACAGGGCATTTGCCCCTCAGAGACTCTCCCCTGCCTGCTAATGCATGGCTGGCACTGTCCAGGCGCCAGCCCTGCAATGTGCCTTCACGGACCGGAGGGGAGATCAGAGATCTCACTCCCCGGTCCGCAGGCACCGTGCTGGCAGCTGGCAGGGGAGGGAGAGAGGACCCGGAGGCTCAGCCTGCAGCTCCTCCAGATCCTACTCTTGCAAGCACAGAGCGTTGCCGTGGTTACCACAGCAACGCTCGGGATCTAGCGAGAGTGAACTCTAGCCCTCCAGCTATAGGCAGGAGTTCACTCTCACCACTGCGACCACCATGGATCGAGAAATGTAATGTAAAATAAATAAGTAAATGTATGTTCCCCCTCTACCTTCTTACCTTTACTGATGGTGGAGGGGGGGGGGCATAATTTTTTTTTTATTATTTAAATATTTTTTTTATAAAAAAGCCCCTCTACCCTCCTCACTACACATTCACACACTGCCCCCCATACACACATTGCTCCCCACACATACACTGTCCCCCCATACACACACTGCCCCCACACACATACACTGCCCCCCCATACACAGATTGCCGCCCACACACATCACCCCCCATACACACACTGCCCCCACATACATTGCCCCCCATACACACACTGCACCACACACACATACACTGCCCCTCATACAAACAAACTCACCCATACACTGCCCCATACACACACCGCCCCCCCACACACACTCTGCCCCCACACACACACACTGCCCCCACACACATACACTGCCCCCATAAACATGTATACACTGCCCCCATACACACATTGCCCTATACACACACACACACACATAGCCCCCTATACACACATTGCCCCACATACTCTACACATTCACACACTACACCCCACACACACACCAAACCTTTCACACACACTGCACCCCTCACATACAGCACTGCTCCTATGCCCTACTACAGCCCCATACCCCAGCAGACCCCAGGTAGTGGTTGCTGAGCATGGATTATTTCTTTAACAAGTGCCCCTCCCGAGATCAGGCTCTGGATCCGCCACTGACAGAGCTCACTAAAAACAAAAGACAACACCAAGCACAGAAGCAGTGACTTGGGTAAACAGGACATAAATCATGAAACATCAATTATGAAAAATAAATTGTACTTAGCTGAGGAGGCAGCAGCAAAGAAAGAGGAGGGGCTTAGGGTCACATGGAGCATTCTTATTGGATGTCATGTTATTAACCCTTTGAGGGTACATGTTAGAATTTTTCTAAGAATATTACAGTATCCTTTCTTTGCTGCTGAGGAATAAAGAGATAAAGCACAATATGAGCCTCCGCGTCCTTTAATAAAATTCAGAGTTTAGTGGATAAACCGCTCATTGCTATTCACTAACGTGCGAATTTTCATTAATTAAAAGAGGTTTATTCACTAACGTGCAAATTTTCAGACATTATGAGGTTTATTCACTAGCGTGCAAATTTTCATTAATTTAAAGAGGTTTATTCACTAACGTGCAAATTTTCATTAATTTAAAGAGGTTTATTCACTAACGTGCGAATTTTCATTAATTTAAAGAGGTTTATTCACTAGCGTGCGAATTTTCATTAATTTAAAGAGGTTTATTCAGAGAATCTCAGAGAACTGTAATCTGATGGGGATAATTTAGGGTAAAACAGCTTTTTATTTTATTAAAGTTGGAGTTATGAAGGATTACAGGGGGGGGGGCCCCAGCCAGCCACTCCCCACTCCCCCCATTCTATGTCACTGGGAGAAGCTGGGAGAACTCCCGCAGTTTTCCTACAGTTCCCGGCATGCTCGGCGGAAGGCACGCTGCGCGTTGACGTCACGGCGCTCTCTCGCGTTGCGAGCAGGATAGGGCCGTGCGGGCCGCCGTACGGCAGAGGCGGAAGTGGGGCTCCGGGAGGATGGGGGCCGCCGTGTTTTTCGGATGTACCTTTGTGGCCTTCGGGCCGGCCCTGTCCCTCTTCATCCTCACCATAGCCGGGGACCCGCTCAGAGTCATCATCCTGGTAGCCGGGTGAGTACGGGGAGACAGCCAGGGGACACCATAACCACTGCGGGGACACCATAACCACTGCGGGGACACCATAACCATAACCACTGCGGGGACACCATAACCATAACCACTGCGGGGACACCATAACCATAACCACTGCGGGGACACCATAACCACTGCGGGGACACCATAACCACTGCGGGGACACCATAACCACTGTGTGACTACCATAACCACTGCGGTGACACACACCATAACCACTGCGGGAGCACACACCATAACCACTGTGTGACCACACAGCCATAACCACTGCGGGGACACCATAACCACTGTGGGGACACCATAACCATAACCACTGCGGGACCACACACCATAACCACTGCGGGACCACACCATAACCACTGCGGGACCACACCATAACCACTGCGGGGACACCATAACCACCATAACCACTGCGGGGATACCATAACCACTGTGTGACCACACACCATAACCACTGTGTGACCACACACCATAACCACTGTGTGACCGCCCACCATAACCACTGTGTGACCGCCCACCATAACCACTGTGTGACCACCATAACCACTGTGTGACCACACACCATAACCACTGTGTGACCACACACCATAACCACTGCGGGGACACCATAACCACTGTGTGACCACACACCATAACCGCTGCGGGGACACCATAACCACTGTGTGACCGCCCACCATAACCACTGCGGGGACACCATAACTACTGCGGGGCCACACTATCCACCATAACCACTACGTGACTATCCACCATAACCACTGCGGGAACACCATAACTACTGCGGGGCCACACTATCCACCATAACCACTGCGGGACCACACCATAACCACTGCGGGAACACACTGACCACCATAACCACTGCGGGACCATACTACCCACCATAACCACTGTGTGACCATACTACCCACCATAACCACTGTGTGACCAAACTACCCACCATAACCACTGTGTGACCATACTACCCACCATAACCACTGCGGGACCATACTACCCACCATAACCACTGCGGAACCATACTACCCACCATAACCACTGTGTGACCATACTAACCACTGTGTGGCCACCATATAAATGCTTCTCTACGAGGTGCTTCAGCGTCTCCATCCAGAGGGTGGAGACTGAATGTAGGTGCTGCATCTTTGTATCTTAAAATTAAACGTTGTTTACTTAAAGGACCACTCTAGGCACCCAGACCACTTCAGCTTAATGAAGTGGTCTGGGTGCCAGGTCCTTCTAGGGTTAACCCATTTTTTTATAAACATAGCAGTTTCAGAGAAACTGCTATGTTTATGAATGGGTTAAGCCTTCCCCTAATCCTCTAGTGGCTGTCTCATTGACAGCCACTAGAGGCGCTTGCGTGCTTCTCACTGTGATTTTCACAGTGAGAGCACGCAAGCGTCCATAGGAAAGCATTGTAAATGCTTTCCTATGCGACGGGCTGAATGCGCGCGCAGCTCTTGCCGCGCGTGCGCATTCAGCCCAGGAGGAGGAGAAGAGGAGGATCGGAGGAGGAGAGCTCTCCGCCCAGCGCTGGAAAAAGGTAAGTTTTAACCCCTTCCAGAGCCGGGCGGGAGGGGGTCCCTGAGGGTGGGGGCACCCTCAGGGCACTATAGTGCCAGGAAAACGAGTATGTTTTCCTGGCACTATAGTGGTCCTTTAAAAAAAAAAAAAAAAAAACTGGCTCCTGGATTCCAAGCAAATTTGTCAAGCCCTGGTGTTAAAGGACCACTCTAGGCACCCAGACCACTTCAGCTTAATGAAGTGGTCTGGGTGCCAGGTCCAGCTAGGGTTAACCCATTGTTTTATAAACGTAGCAGTTTCAGAGAAACTGCTATGTTTATCAATGGGTTAAGCATTCCCCCATTCCCTCTAGTGGCTGTCTCACTGACAGCTGCTAGAGGCGCTTGCGTGATTCTCACTGTGAAAATCACAGTGAGAAGACGCAAGCGTCCATAGGAAAGCATTATGAATGCTTTCCTGTGCGACCGGCTGAATGCGCACACAGCCGACGGGGCGGAGAGGAGGAGGAGAGCTCCCCGCCCAGCATTGGAAAAAGGTATGTTTTAACCCTTTTCCCCTTTCCAGAGCCGGGCGGGAGGGGGACCCTGAGGGTGGGGGCACCCTCAGGGCACTATAGTGCCAGGAAAACGAGTATGTTTTCCTGGCACTATAGTGGTCCTTTAATGATATACCCTACAAGGAACTTGGTAAAGAAAACAAAGTGCTGTTTAGGCAATGTTTCAGTTTGTGACTGTTTTATTTCGAAACATTTTGGTAAGTTTGTTGTATTTGTTTATTATACATAGACTGCTATGAGGATTACATTTGCTCTTGAGAAAGGCCCATGGAGGGGCCGGCACGTTAACCGTGTGATGGAATATTCAAGGTTTGAGGTTTTGCATAAAGTCCTAACAGTACAATAGGTTTTTATGAATGTGTGTGTGTGTCACTATCGGCTCTCTCGTGCCATAGTGCTGGACATATACAGGGCAACGCTGTGACCAGAAGGCTCGATCTAAACACCCTGACCTCTCCCACTAAAGGAAGTAGCGGGTATAGGTCATGTGTTTTGTCAAACCTCTTGGTGGAGCTTTAATAATAAAAAAAAAAAAGTGTCCCCAGCCCTATATTCTGCCCACTCTTCTTCCTCATTGATCTTCTGAAATGTAAACTTCTGCATTATGTTGGTTCTGTTCGACCTGGATGGCAGTGAAAGGTCGAGAGATAACCCACCCCTGTGCGTTCTTTCAGCCAATCATCTGTGTCCAGGTTGGATGAAATCGATACTAGTAATGCAGAGGTTTAAATTCTGCCTTGTCAATACAGTTGGAGAAGGGGCGGTCTGTTGGTCCCAGTGAGCACCTAAAATTTTGTAAATCCACTCTGTTTAACAGAAGAAAAAAAAGTGTCTGGGCCATCTCCGCACTATTACTACTGAACTGAAGTGGTCATGGTGTTTAGAGTGCCCAACGAAAGTTATTGATATTTGAATATTATTGAATATTCTTATTCTTCCATGTACCATGCATGATTATATTCCTTAATACTTCCACAATCTGTCTTTTCAGTATTATACAATGTTACACTCATGATATTCCTGTTAAGTTGTATGTTTCTGATTATATTCCCTCTTTTCGTGTTTTTTATTTTGCCTAGGTCCTTTTTCTGGCTGGTGTCGGTCCTATTATCCTCCTTGATCTGGTTCATTTCTGTCCAGGTCAGTAACAAGAATGATTCCAATCTTCAGTATGGCTTGTTAATATTTGGAGCAGCTATATCCGTTCTGCTACAGGAGTCCTTCAGATACGCCTATTACCGGTTACTCAAGTAAGTACTTGTATTTTCAGTAATCTGGATTTTTTTAGGGAGCTTTTTATTACCAGCTTTTTAAGTCAGGCATTAAATGGGTAATTTGGGCTACAGATTGATTTTTTTCCAGGGGGTAAAACGGAAAATAGTCTCAGGACATTTGTCCATTTTGCTTACTGTCAGTTGTATACATGTAGAGGAAAATGGCAAATAGCATTTCTACCTAAAACAGATTTCCCAGCTGTCAGACTGATTTTTGATCCACAGTATGCTGTAAGGATCCGTCAGGCTGACATGGATTTTTTTAGTATATTTTAAAGAGTTATCAGGATGATTTAGATCCAGCGGTGTGTAATAAAGAGCAGTCAGGATGATTTAGATCCAGCGGTGTGTAATAAAGAGCTATCAGGATGATTTAGATCCAGCGGTGTGTAATAAAGAGCTATCAGGATGATTTAGATCCAGCGGTGTGTAATAAAGAGCTATCAGGAGGATTTAGATCCAGCGGTGTGTAATAAAGAGCTATCAGGATGATTTAGATCCAGCGGTGTGTAATAAAGAGCAGTCAGGATGATTTAGATCCAGCGGTGTGTAATAAAGAGCTATCAGGGTGATTTATATCCAGCGGTGTGTTAGAGCTGTCAGGATGATTTAGATCCAGCGGTGTGTTAGAGCTGTCAGGATGATTTAGATCCAGCGGTGGGTTATAAAGAGCTGTCAGGGAGATTTAGATCCAGCGGTGTGTAATAAAGAGCTATCGGGATGATTTAGATCCAGCCGTGGGTTATAAAGAGCTGTCAGGATGATTTAGATCCAGCAGTGTCTTATAAAGAGCAGTCAGGATGATTTAGATCTAGCGGTGGGTTATAAAGAGCTGTCGGGATGATTTAGATCCAGCTGTGGGTTATAAAGAGCTGTCAGGATGATTTAGATCCAGCTGTGGGTTATAAAGAGCTGTCAGGGTGATTTAGATCCAGCGGTGGGTTATAAAGAGCTGTCGGGATGATTTAGATCTAGCGGTGGGTTATAAAGAGCTGTCGGGGTGATTTAGATCCAGTGGTGGGTTATAAAGAGCTGTCGGGGTGATTTAGATCCAGTGGTGGGTTATAAAGAGCTGCCGGGGTGATTTAGATCCAGTGGTGGGTTATAAAGAGTTGTCAGGGTGATTTAGATCCAGCGGTGGGTTATAAAGAGCAGTCAGGATGATTTAGATCCAGCGGTGGGTTATAAAGAGCTGTCAGGGTGATTTAGATCCAGCGATGTGTAATAAAGAGCTGGACCTGTCAGCATGATTTAGATCCACCGGTGTGTAATAAAGACCTGTCAGCATGATTTAGATCCAGCGGTGTGTTATAGAGAGCTTTCAGGGTGATTTAGATCCAGCGGTGGGTTATAAAGAGCTGTCAGGGTGGTTTAGATTCAGCAGTGTCAGGCTGACTTGGGCCTTGTTTATTAAGTTTAGACATGTATCAATATCCCCTGGCTGTGAAGAGTTAACATTACACACTATGACTGGAAGCTGGTCACCTGACTGTTAGCTGGTCACATGAAGAGTGATTCATGCTGGGGATGTCGGACACTATAGCCTGACTCTGCTTTATAGAGTCAATACATGAAACCTCATTTACAATAAATAATACAAAATTGTGCAGACTAAAAATATCCTGAATATGAAGCTGTTACGATTAAGGGATAAATCATTGCATTCTATCAGACAAATAGGGCAATGGATGGGGGTGGGGGCAATATCAGTGTCACCGATATGTGTGCGTGCCATTATTGTCACGGTTTATTATCTCTCTTGGGTTGTTTTGTTTTTCTCTTTTGAGCCCTAAACATTATTTTGAATGTCCGCCATTTTTTGTGTAACGCAATAGATTTCTCACTCTTTCTGTCACTGTTCCCAACATAAAACGATTTTGTATCACTTCTCTTATTTCAGCCAGACTAAATTTGTCTGTTTTCTGAATTTGAAATCTCTGCAAAAGCTCACAGAATTTACTACGAAGAAAGCCCTCACTTTAAGAACTCTTTAATAAATCCAATAAAAATAACGGTCACGTTTTAACAGACCGATCTCCCCTGGTTTATTATTGTGTAGCGATATAGCATTAGCCGTTTATAATGTTTTTGTTGGCTTGCCTCTTTTATAGAAGGGTTATGCAGTGCTTCAAACAGGAAGAGATACCCATAAAATAAATAAATACATATTGTCATCGAAATGTACAGCACTGCATAATCTGGTACTTCGTACGTGAAATGTGACAGCAGGGAAGGCATGTAAAGTGTGTAATGTTCCGTATGGGTTTTATAGATCAGTAATTTGATCTATTCCTTTCTGCTCACATGTACTGCGTGTCTGAGCGAAATCGGACTCCATAAACCATTGTCATTTCTCCTTCTCTTCCTCTTTCAGGAAAGCCGATGAAGGTCTGGCTACTATCAGTGAAGATGGCAGGTCTCCAATCTCCATCCAGCAGATGGCGTACGGTGAGTATATTTTATTTCTTTTCAGCCTGCAATGACCTCCAGAGAGTCTATGGTTCTGGTTATTTTACATTCCTTCTATTGCACATTACAAGGATTGGTCTTTGTACATGGTGATTAATGAACCTAATTAAAGGGACACTATAGGCATCAAAACAACCTTAGCTTAATGAAGCAGATTTGCTTAAACAGAGCAGGAGATAAAATAAATAAATTCAAAATTAAATAGACTGTGTATTAAAGGAAGTGTAAACATTAGATCTGTTTTTAAGGCTGTGTAAATTACATGAAGGTGTGACTAGTGCTGCGTAAACAAAGTGATTTTTCTCATAAATGGCAGAGAATTAAGCAGTGAGATTGCAATGGCATGATTTGTAAATCAAAATTGCCTCATTAAGCTAAAGTAGTTTTGGTGCCAATTTTATCCCTTTAAACGTAGAATTCAGTGTAATCATGTGAGCTGCGCAGTAACATAGTATAAGGTTAGGAAGGACTATTATTCTACCTTGTTACTTGGCATTTTCTTAGTATGTTGTGTTTATTTCTTTTTTTTTCTAATCTATTGTCTCCATATTAGACAAACATTTATTGAATTATTAAATTACACCCCCTTTACTCTGTCTTCAAGGTCCAACGCCTTAATGCAGCTTTGGAGGAGTTTATTTTCTAAGCACTGGGCTGTTGCTACTGACTTAGATCATTAGCACTCTGGCAGCTTCTCGTATACTATGAGCTGTATGATGGCTCTCTGCCAAACCCCCCCTACTGCTCGCTGTAAGTAGTGAATTCTGCAGAATCTACAACTCTCCATGGATGAACTTGGTGTTATCCATTGGTGGATCATACTAAGTTAGAGACCTACCTTTAAGAAAACGAATGCTCATTCCATAGGTTAAGGTGCAAGGGATTTGACACCGTGACTTTTGCTGCAATTTATATCCATATTAAATCAGCTCTGTGCCGTGTGTCTTCCGCCCCTCCAAAAATAAAAAAAACCTTTATGAAATACTCACATTGACTGGGTTGGAATGTAACTTAAAATCCATCGCAGTGACAAGATACAATAAGACAAAGTAAGGACTTTTCTTGTGCCTGATAAAACTCGGCAAATATGGAGCAACCGGCATGAGGGAAAAGTCATTGACTGCGGTCTCATAGGATCTTCCGTAGACATCAGTGTGGCACAGTGGCGATGGTGGATCGAGAGAATCCTGCGCTTGGCCTCATTCACAATTATGAATGTGGATGTGTGTAGTCTGGTAATGGTTGTGGTAAGGCTTCCCATTCATGATATGTAACGAATGGTACAGCTTGCTGTTGGCTGGAGAGTGGTCTGTGGGCTGCAATCGGACCAGAAGACCGGAATATGAGACTTCTTATTCCTGGTCTGGATGGGGCTCTTAGCTGCTGCAAATAAAAAATTGTAAAAAAAAGATATAATAAAAGAGCTGATTCTTTACATGTCTTCCTTTCCCGAACAGTGTCTGGATTCTCTTTTGGAATAATTAGCGGAGTATTTTCCGTCATCAATATCCTGGCAGACGCGGTGGGACCCGGGATAGTGGGGGTGCATGGAGACTCCCAGTATTACTTTCTTACATCAGGTAATATCTCTGTGTGTTCTAGTCGATTGCTTTGTAAATTGCCCCAGTAATAATAGTAATGACTCTAATGCACACATGGTACACGTTAGGGCAGAGTGCCATAGAAGTATAATTTTGCCCTATTTAGGCGAAATAGAGAAGTGCAGATGGTTTGGAAAAACGTTAGTCGGTTTATTGTACGTTTTTAAAATGTGGTTTTCAGTTTACTGTTTAGTGAATAAATCTCTCAGAAAATAATCAACATTGGATTAAGTAAATTAATGTCCTGTTCTGTGTCCTAACTGGTTTTAAAGTAAATGCATTTAAGGAGAGGCTTATTGAACATGGTCTTACTTCTGCTACAGCCCGCTGCCCACTGTGTGCTGTGGTTTGGGCTATTAGTGCTTTATGGAGCTAATGCTATATAAATAATAATAATAATGTACTCTTGTACTTCCTCCATGTCGGGGGGTGGGAAGGGTGATGCTTTGTCCCAGTGTGTTATTTATCTGATTGTCATCTTGTCTCTTACCCAGCATTCCTCACAATGGCCATCGTGTTCCTGCACACCTTCTGGGGGATAGTGTTCTTTGCAGCTTGTGAGAAAAAGCAGCTGTGGCACATTGCTGGAGTGGTCCTCTGCCACTTGGTCACCTCTGGGTTGGTGAGTATCCTGAATTGGTGTCTTCACTACAACTGTAATGTCTTAATAGCACCATAACCACCACTTTACAAGGGTGTGTCTCCATCTTGGTTTACTTTGCATGGTTTTAGTTAATGCTCTACCATGTGACCTGCCTAGATGCCCACAGCTGGCAGTGCCATTACTCCACGTGGCAGAAACTGCCTTTTCCAAATCCTCTTTACTGTGCGTTTGGAGTGTGAGATCGTACTGCCCAGCACCCAATCAATTTGTACCTTTTTAAGGCAGCGATCACTGACCCCTGGCATTCTGACAGGTGCTAATTGGATTTCCCATGATGTTAGACAGTCCACAGCAGCTGGAGTGACAATCCATAGCCGTCAGTGGGGCAGCCTGCAGAAGAGATGCAAGCGAAGAATGCTATCAATTGTAGACTGCTCAGATCTTACTTTATTTATCGATATCCCTTAACTTATCAGCTCTTCAGAATATCCTCCATCACTAGATGCCTAGATTAATTTTTAAATCGATATTATGGTTGATTTGAAGTCTACTTTGTTACTTAAAATTTCTCAATTAACAGAGTATCCACTAGGTGGTACTGTTGGGTTTTAGAACAATGCAAACTCTGCTGTAATAACTACTGGCTGGATCCCATCTTCAGAGATGTATGTGTAGACCTCCTGCGGGCTGTTTATCTCTTCATATATCAAAGCAGTAAATAGCAAACCTTGTTTATACATCATGTAATCCTTCTTAACCCCTGTGTAGTGAATTCTGTGGAATCTACAGCTCTCCATGGATGGAACTTGGTGTTATCCATCAGTGGATCATACCAAGTTACAGGTTAAGTGTTTCGTAGCATTCTGTACATTGCACAGGGGGAATACACACTATCCTTCATATATTGACTATGCATTCTGTTTAATCTTCTGATCTATTTAGGCAATATTTGCCAATAATTTGATAGATTTAGGTTCATGTCCCACTAGCACTAACTGCAGTACCTGTTTCATCATTTCATCCTCCAGACTTTCCTGAACCCTTGGTATGAGGCCAGTCTGATCCCAATCTATATCCTCACCTTATTAATGGGGATGTGGGCATTCGTGGCTGCCGGGGGCACCCATCACAACATCCGCAAATGCCTATCATGTAAGTAGAAATCCCCACCTCGTGTAACGCAAACATTATTCCAACATTGCTAGAATACTGTCAATTCAGTTCTAGAAAAATCTAATAAATTGTAGAAAGTCTAGCTGATTTGTGTATTTTTGTTCTATTTTTTTTTTTTTCTGTTATTTAAAGGAAGAGTCACAAATGTAATACATTCAATAACCAAGGGTGACTATGTCAGTTTGCTACAGTCAGGCTTATGAATTATGACCATGATGTTTGTAGCTTAATATAACAATTGTACACTTAATGGAACACTATAGAGTCAGGATCATGACCTTTTAGTGTTAAAAAAAATTATCTAGCCTCCTCCTCCTAAATGTATAATAAAAATCCATGCAGAGACACTGAATGAATGTCACACTGTGCAACACTTCTCCAGGACGCACCCCTAGTAGCAATTTGAGGAGTGGCCAGTGGCGGTATCCCTAGGCTGTAATTTAAACACTGCATTTTCTCTGAAAAGACAGTATTGGTATTAAAAATCCTGGACAGGCTGTAGACACCAGAACTACATTAAGCTGTAATTGTTTTGGTGACTATAGTGTCCCTTTTATAGGAATACTTCAAGAACCATAACCACTGCAGTGTGCTCCTAAGATAAGCCTTGCAGTGCAGAGCTATCGCATTGGATGAAAGATTCAGCTGATTGCTCTAAGCCAATGAAATATGCCCTGCTTAGTGAATGAGGGGGGCAGGACCTCAGCTAAGAAGTCAAACTGTTCTAAAATGGCTTGACACCTTACAAAGCGGGTGCCTTCAGGGTACTCTTGGCACCATAACTGCCACAGCCAGCCATAGTGGGTATGGTGCTAGGAACATTCCTTTTAATAGAAATTGCTTGGTTGGGCAGTAGGAGCAGCTATGTTAAGTATTCTGTCTGTGATTTCTTTTTAATAGAGGCCATTAATTTATGTCAGCCTTGGATGTAGAAGGAATGGAGCTAGCTAATTATTCAGAAAAATTCCAATAAAACCCAAAGCATGCCAGCAGTAGATAGTTTTAGTAAATGTTCTTATCCGTGTTGTGTAGTGGGTAGCTACAATATCATCTTTTACAGACTTGGAAATTGGCAAAATTAGGCTAAAATAGCTGATCTTTGATTATAGCATTGGAGATTTTTTCTCAATCAACTGTTTTAGTCTGACTCTTTTGCAGTTCAGATTTCAGCTTGGATTCAGTTAGTTTGGTGATTAGTGAAAGGTTCATCCTTGGATAATAACCAGACTACCTGACGTAGATCGAAAGGGATTTCTACCAGTTAATAAACAGGCAATAGTTTCCATGGCAGTGTCTGTTTAACCCTTTAAGGACACAACTTCTGGAATAAAAGGGAATCATGACGGAATATTTCCATCATGTGTCCTTAAGGTGTTAAACTGCTTCTTGGTCGGTAAAAGCAGCTCTTCTTATCCTCTTAGTAGTAGTTACTGGGTAGCATTGTTTTGTTACCCATCAGGATCCTGCCTTGTTCTGTGAGGTAAGGTCACTGCAGCCTGCAATCTTCTAAAGGGTTTGTACCGAATCTGCCTCTATCCAAACCTGGGATAATTTTTTTCTTTTCTTTTAAGTATTTTCATTTTTGACAAGGTATGGAATGCTGTTACAAACATCATCTGCAGTAAATCATATAAATGTGTTGGTCCACTTAGCATTTCAAATCTGTCTAGAATTACTTCTTCATAAATTGTAAGTGGAAAAACTGTTCATCTTTATTCAAAACGTGATAAAGGCCTATGTTCTGTCATTCTGATACAATTTACTGTGAATAAGCCCCTATACTGCGAGGAAGCATTATTTTTTAAATTTATTTAGTAATAAATATATTCCTCCAGAAAAGTTGGTTAGAATGAGAATCTTCAGTGTATTAAGTCTCAATTAAAATAATAGTTTACTTATAGTGCATAAAGCACAGGGTATTTAATACTTACACTGCCCTATGTAGCAGGAACCCAGGGAAATATTTTACTCTCCAAAATCCTCCCCCACACCCCCCATTAAGGCGTTAGTTAAAACAGAAACCGTTTTGTTTCTGCAGGCAGACGTCAAGAAAGTAACCAGGTTATGGTATATTCTGCTCTTCAGGTGCCCAATGATGAATGAGGCCAAAACATGCTGCCATGCAGCTACGAATGGACATTACAACCGAGACGCCATCAAAGTGCTCCTCAATCCCAGAAGCTGGCTCCTTTTTCTACACCTTCTCAGACGAAAAGGACTTTCCAGTTTTTGTCTCTGGTTCCACCCGTCCCACATGCCGGCACTGGGCCTACTCAGGCTGCTGGGGGCAATCTGGAATTGCTCCTGCGATAATCCAGAACAGCATAACTTTATTTTCTTCTTTTCAAACACACGTGCCGTCCCCATCACGGGATCTTGAACAAGTCTGCAGCTTTCTCGTTTTGGTTGTTCTTTCTAGCCAAGTCTAGCGTTTGGCTAAGATCCGTTTCCCTTCCCACCTTGGAGGCATGGTTTATCCTAAAATGGTTAAAGGGTGATGGAGCCTTGTATATTTGGTGGACCTGTCCCCGTAAACGTGAGTCAGTCTAAATTTTTTTTTTTCTTCTTCTCCTCACTCAGAACTGTCAGATGCTCCTCAGGGACTGGGAGTGAATATAAACACATAGAATCACTGCAATTTGAAGCTTCCTTGTCTGCCATTTCCTTGTGTGTGTGTGTGTGTTTCATTTTTATTTTTTCTTGCCTCTTTGTGTAGAGAATAATACCACACTGTGGCAGAGAGGGCAACACTACAATCTGGTTATTGGATTTCTGGTACAGTTTCTGTACTAAGGATCCTCTTGCAAATGTGAAATGTGTATCTAAAATACTGCAGCTTTGTTGCGTACCTCGCTAACCTAAATCCACTTCTTGAAGGATATCACTGCCCAATCAGTGAGCGGCGCTGTTGGAAGTGACCAAAACAAAACTCTTTGGGGCTGTGAGGGTAATACAATATGCAACCTCTGTCCTTAATGTATGACATTATCTTAGTAAGCCCACCCTGAGGACAGAGGATACTGAGCAGCAGTGCCTTATAGCAGCATTAGACAACTTCTACCATTCCAGACGTTGTTTGCTCCATCTCCTGTGACGCTCCACCAGCCAAAAGCATGGGAGATGTAGTTCACAGTATCTAGATTTGCAGAGACTGCAACACTGTAGCTCTTAACAAGCCAGCGATCCTGTTGGGAGTTGAGGGATGGGTTTCCACCCCCTTCCTGTTTTGAAGGCCTTATGTTTAGTTAGAATGTAACTTGATACAAACTTGGGGAATAGACCAAGCTGGATGGTTGATAAGACAGCATTCTTAGCAAGTATCTAGAAGAGTTTGCATATTTTGATATCAGAAGAATGTGTTGGAGTTATTCCTGCATAGGTTGATGCTAGGATACAAGCCCCTATTTGATCCTACTAGACATTTCTTGGCTATTACATTTATAGTTAAAACTCCTGAATAACTAAATGTTTGGATTTGGTTTGGGTTACACATTGTCATCCTCATTTGTAAATTCGCTCCTCTCTGCAGATAGGTTTGGGATGCTCTGGGATAACTGGAAATTAACCCCTGCTGCTGCATGGACAGTGTTGCATAGCGATTGGAATAGATCACAGCCTGCCAGCATTAATGGGGTTAGCAATGAATTCCCGAGAACGCACAAAGAGACCGGATATGTCCTCAGCCATTCATTCTTACTATGCATTGCAGGGAGAGGGTTAAAACCAACTTACATGGCAGTGTGCAATTTGATGATTAACAGCAGTTGTATCCTAATAAATAAAAATTTAACAACGAACTACCAATGTTTTTACTGCCCTGCAATACATTTCTCCAATAAAACAAGTATGGTTTTACATTTTATAATTGTAGGCTGTGTTTTCTGTTGGGGATGGCGTTTCTGATATAAAATTACTGTTGATTGGGCATTGCAGCCGGCTTTCCTTACATTGTGATACTCGTGGTGTTGAGGAAAAGCAGATCTGTGATCTGAATGAGAAAGCTGGTTTACATGATTTTAACATAACTGAAATAAGCCTAACTATGGGACTACGTAATGCAAATGTTTCTTCTTGCCTCCCGTCGGGTCCAGGTTGGCACTAACGTGAAAAAAGAAAGATTGTTCACCAATTTCACCTTTCAGAGCCTTTCTCCTGGAGGGAATCTGTCTGCCAGTGAAGGTAACTAACCCAAAACCTCTTTTCATTCCCTGCCAGTAAAATCTGAATAAATGAATCCTAATAATTTAGTTTTAGTGCTTGAAATTTCACCTTTAAAATAGCTGTTGCTCTCCAACATCAGTTCTCATAGTTGGCTTTGAGTACAGCACTCATGGCTAACTTCTGGATGACAGCTCTCATGAATCTCAGCCAGAATTATATGCACAGAATATTTTTATGTAAAAACAAGTGCAAATTTCTCTTTTCCATAATGGACAGTTGAGTGTCATAAGCAAAGATTCTACTGTGGCCAAAATATGCAACTCAATTCCCAGCTTTACAAACAACCTCGTCTCCATAAAAAGGGATATTGCGAGGATAGTGGATACAATATTTTGGGTTTTCTTCACAAACCTTCATTTTGGTCAGTTGTCAATTTTGTTGGGGGAAAAAATCTAAAAAGCACGGCCTTTGACTTTTCCCCCCCAACTCTGTTTTGGTCGACGTTTTGCAATCCAGCTGTTAGTTGACCATAACTTCCTGCATAGTAAATATACTCCTTTTTGAAAAGGACGATAAAAGTATCACACACACTCTGTTTTCACAGAAAAAAAAAAAAACACATTTTAATGTGAACAAACCAGTACCAAATACTACAAAAGGTTTGAAACAATTTCACAGTTTGCAAAATATAAAAGATATGCTTAGATTCTGTTCTATCAGTGAAAGCCCATTTTACCTTGTAACATGGCTTTTTAAATATAGTCCAGATAGTGAGAGTCAGTGCCGGGGGGTGAGGAGGGGGGCTCCAGCATAGGTTATCAGTAAGCTTTCAAACTACAAATCTTGTTGCCAAATCAACACATTTTGTTGTTTAGGCTGCACTTCCATTTAGGAGTAGTTTGACACGATACTGTCTGTCGGTGGTCCTCCCAGTCTGAGTTGTTCTAATAAAGTAGAATTTAATAGTACACATTATCAAACTAAATCATGCTACGTCTGGATGTTAGCCATTGGCTGAAGTCAGATGATACTTGCGTCCTGTGGCTACTGTCCAAACATTCTAATTTAGTATGATAATGGGAAGTAGGAATTTCTATATGAGATCAACTCAGGACCACAGACGCTTTGTACAGAGAGCCAAGTATCAAAGTATTCATTGATGGTTTAACCGTTAATCACTGGAAGTCGCCATGGGTCCTGGCACCATAGCAACTACAGCATGCTATAGTGTTCCTTTAAAGGAACACTCAATTTAAATATATATCTATCCCAAATAAAACATTATTGTAATATTGTTGATCTATTATAGCTAAGTGAGCATCCTAACGTACTGAGGCACTTTGTGATTTGAGTAATACTCACTGCAGAAGCAGTAAATACAAAAGCAATATGTTAAAAATACTTCTATAGAATATCATGCACATTATTTAATGTATTCTCTACATAGTACATTAAATTTGAAACTCTAGCCTGGAGGCACTTGAACCTGCATACAGTAAAAGCTACCTGATTAAAAAGATCAAACTGTTAAAGGGACACACCACTCACCAGGACTACAGCTTAATGTAGTTGCTCTGGTGTCTCTAGCACATCACTGCGGGCATTTTAATGTAAATACTGCCTTTTCAGAGAAAAGGCGGTGTTTACATTACAGCCTACGGACACCTCCAGTGGCAGTCACTCAGACTGCCACTAGAGGTGCTGGGTGTGCAGCACTGATGCTCAGCGTCTTCACCCTCTGCAAATTTGATGATCTCAGCCAAGAGAGTGGAGTGTGGTCAAGGCCAGCCGTGGTGCTGAAAAATGCTGAATAAATCACCTTTTTAACAGGAGGTAAGATGGGGCTAGACAGCTATTATAGACCTATAGTGTCAGGAATACATGTATCTTGATGTATCCAGACATACTGTACTATTTGAACCAATACAGGGGCTCTTGCATGTGGCAATATAGGCAGCAAAGCATGTCACCCCAGTTTACATATTGTATCAAAAGGAAAAACTGCTCGTAATATTTAAAAATCATTCTTACTGGGTTTTTTTACTCTTCAAGGACAAACAAATTAAAAATAAGTTATAACAAACCAGTCTTCAAAATGTACCAAATGCAGGAATGATAAGCACTTCAAATGCAAAAGTAGGTCATTCCATGCTAGCATGTTAGAAGACGCGAACAGGGTTATTCATAGAGGCTTCCACAATCTAGACCAAATTAATCAAACTGGAGAAGTGCAATTTGGAGAAGTTTTCCAAGTTAGCTATTTTGTTCTTTAACTTGAAATTAAGGTTTCATTTACTTTACATTCTCAACAATTCAGAATTTACTAAATAACCCAGTTGTACTTTAATTATTGGAGCAAATGTTAACAAAAGGTTTAAAATTGCCCATCTAGTCCTGGGTGAAAAAAATATGGCACGTTTTAAGATCCGCAACTTTTTCTACCTGTCTAGACACTATTCTCTATAGTGTGAATTTCAAATTATTTGGCCAAAGTAGCTGAACTGAAACCTACCAGACTAGGAAAAGGTTTCCAGTTCAGCTGTTGTCTAAGCTTTTAAATTCCCACAGTTTCAAAATTTGGTGGATTATTATTTATATAGCGCCAACAAATTCCGTAGCGCTGTACAATGGGTGGACTAACAGACACATAATTGAGATCAGACCACTGGCCGTACAGGAACAGAGGGGGTTGAGGTCCCTGCGCGATGAGCTTACATGCTAGAGGGAGTGAGGTATAGTGGATAACCTTGTAAGCGTTGTGAGCAGTTACACGATTCTCAGATTCTTATTGTAATGATTTCCTTTTAAACAAACCTTGCTGCACAGCCTGGCAATTTTGTAGAAAATGCAGGTAATTCAAATGTGTTTTTTAATGCTCTCTTTATATAATGCATATAAAAAAAAGCCTACAGTGCCCCTTTAAGCAGCTTCCGTGCATTATTTAACCTGCTGCCCTAGTTGGCATTTTACTAGGTTATTTTGCATAAAATCTTTTGAAGCAAGCGAATGCAGTAGTGTTTGCTAAAAATGGTAATACCCTGAATTTCATTTTAATATACATGTACTCTGTTTGAATATATTTACTCTACAAAAATAAAAGCCAACAGGACTATGGTCATTTTTCCTTTAAATGGCTGTCAGCTCCTGGAGATTTTTTTTTCTCACTAAAGTGATCCTGTCATACATGTTTTGATGGCAAGCTTACTTTCAGGTAACTTTCAAGGCTCGCATGATTTTTATAGTCAGCTGTGACATTTACATAGTCCTTTAGCGTTATGGCTTTGGCACAGAGATGAAGGGTGAAGGAAGGAATAAAAGAATACTTCTACATTATCAAGTGTAATTCAGTCTGGACCTGGACAACAATGATCCACTGAGAGTAGATTATCATTGCTATCCAGGTTTGCTGGTTTGGTTTGGTAATGGTTCAATGCAGTTTCAGCATGATCTAAGTGGCTGTTCTGAACAATGCTTTAGTTGCAAGCAAGAGACCATTGTGGTTTTCTTCTACACGATATAGAAGCAGTGTACCATAACTACAATCAGTTGCAGTAGTTATAGTGCCCCTTTACTAACCAGCCAGTTAGATTTGTTTTTTTTCACAGTTTCTATAAAATGATTTGTAAGAAGCTCCAACTGTTTTTCAAAACCAGAAGCCTGTCTCATTGCTACAGTGTAACCCTGAAGATTAAATAGATGAAAGCACAGTATAGGGTTAAAGAAACTTGGCTTAAGACCGCCAGGAATAGAGCAATTTGTCCTGGCCCCATCCAAGGTATTTAAAGTCACTCATGATCCGGTGTTGACCCTTTATCACACATGGACTCTGGCAGTGTTGGATTAACCCATGTTTGCTTGAGAATCCCGGAGATCTGTTCCTGAAAGCAGCATATTCCCAGATTATCACAGTTTGAAGGAGAATGCAAACCTCCCTCTCCAGAGTTCAAAACTGGAAAGATTTCACCTCTACGTGTTCAGCAGTTGTAGATGGGGAGTTGTGAGCAACATTGCTGGCCTTTCCTCCCACTTCCATCCTGTTTTTCCTACTGAAGAGACAAACACAGATATAACACAGAAGCATAATGAAGAGATACAGGACTCGCTGCTGATGTTGAGCAAATGCACATCAGGTACGTAAGAATTTGTGCAGAATAATCAGTGTTTACATGTAAAATTACTGTAAATCAGTGCTGATTCAAGTGAGAGAAATTCATTTGTCTTTGAAATCTATGGTTTCTTTGAGCGGGCACTTAGTATCACAAACTGCATATATAGCTTGGAGAGATTGGAGACGCATGGTTAAAGAAACAGTGTACGATCCCTTCTATAAAGTTCTGCCACAGTTGGAACATTGCCTTGCCTTCAGAAAAACTCTATCCTCTATCTAGTGATCCTAATTCTTCCTATACCATAGCAAAAAATCTAGGTGCACGGTTACTGACTGCCATTGGAATTTCAATATCTGATTAAAGCACAGTGTTTGTGTACATTTAGTCTCTATGAATGTTTATTTGTATTTTTTTTGCAGTCAATGTGCATTTCAAACTGTAAGCATGAGTTGTCCATTCACTAATTAATTACAAACCCAGATTTGAAAATTTTGCTAAAATAGTTCCAGATCAACTACTATCAAAATTTAGCATTTTTGATTTCAACTCCCTGTAACTGTGTTTAGAAGGTAAAACAAACTGTATCAAAGTCATGTCTGAGGATGTAATTTCCTTTTTTCCCTGTTTAAAAGGAACATTAGGAACAACGATGTACAGAGAGTGAAGGTACCCAGTTGCAGGGTAAAGAGGTGCAGAGCTTCCAGCTCTCATAATGAAGTGGTCTGAGTGAGGTAAGCTGTCCTTTAAGCATGGTTTGACAGCTTATCTGTACTCTGCCATGTGTCTGTATGGCTTCTGGTGTTCTCCATCAGGAGTAACTGGATTGTTCTATAGAACAAAGCAGGACCACGCTCTTTGACCGAGAGCTTAAGCTTAGCACAACAGTGCATCCGCTGTGCTCTATAGAAACATCTGGCTTCCACAACTGGAAGCAGTGCAGACTGCCGGCTGGAACCAGCTAAGTGTCAAAACATTCTAAAAATGGTTTAACATCTTACAATGAAACAATGCCAGGGCACTCTAGCTGGCTGTGGTTTGGGACATGGGAATGTTCCTTTAATAAGTTACTTTAACCACCATGGCCATTTCAGTATGTTGAAGTGGTCATGGTGCTTGGAGTCGGTCTTTGCAGTGTTTTGCTGTAAAACACTGCATGTACATAATTGGAAGAAGAAGAAAAAACTCTAGCCACCATAACTTCACTGGAATGGAGTTATGGTGCTAGAAGGTCCTGAGCACCAGCTTACTTGAAGGAGTTAAACAAGTGTTAGTGAGCGGTTTGAAAAGACACTTTTCTGGTTGAAGACTCAGATGGTAGGGAAAGGAGGTTTCACATTGAAGACTTTGGGTTAAAACCAGTAGTTAACCCCTTTCAAGTAAACAGACATTATAACAACTTCATTCTAATTAAGGTTCTTTGAAATTCTTTGCTGTCCGAGATGTGTTAGAATTCTACGTGGATTTCAGATTTAAAGGACCACTATAGTGCCTGGCTCTATAGGGTCCTTAGGTCCCCCTCCCGCCGGGCTCTAGGGTGAGGAAGGGGTTAAATTCCTACCTTTTTCCAGTGCCGGGCTATCTCCTCCTTCTGCTGTCATCGGCTGCATGCGCGGCAAGAGCTGCGCACACATTCAGCCAGTCTCATAGGAAAGCATTCTCAATGCTTTCCTATGGACGCTGGTGTCTTCTCACTGAAAATAACAGTAAGAAGCGCGGAAGCACCTCTCGTCTCTGAAACTGCTATGTTTACAGCAAGCAGGGTTAAACCTAGATGGACCTGGCACCCAGACCACTTCACTGAGCTGAAGTGGTCCTTTAAGGTCAAAACTGCCAACATGGAAACATTGCTCTGTTTTGCTTTACATTTGAATTCTCCCTGAAGTAAATAACCTGCTCATGCCATCCATTAAACATCAAGTTAATATTTACAGGGCATCATTTAGGTATTCACCTCTAGTCACAGTTTCGCCATTTGAGTTTTAAATGTGCTAGAATTTGGGAGTTTACTGAAACTTTTTAGAACAATAAAAGTTATTCACAGAAGTAACGTGTGGAGGACCTCACGGCATGTTTCAAATATGTGAACTACACCAATGGTTTCCACGACTACCCTGCACACGGTCACATGCCCTCTAATGATATGGATGTGCAAGCTAAGTGTATTAACCCCCTCACTATCAAGTTCTTTTTATCTAAACATCGTGTTTACAAATACATTGACACAAACTTAGTATAAAATGAAAATTTTGTGTAGCCGTTGGTTGGGGATGTTTGAAAGTATGTATGCTTTTCAGTCCTTGCCTTCACCAATAATTGGGCCGGAGGATGATGGGAGTTTAGTGCATAGCTCACAATATGTGGCAGACATTTTACAATTTCATAAAAAAATCTATTATGGAACCGTAGCTTCCTTACCTATATTTCTTATACACAAAGTATACAATGCAGAAAGTGCCCAGAAGTGCCAAAAATGTCCCGAAAAAGATGCCAAGAATTTGACCTGGAAGGGAAACAGATGTTAGGACTTGTAAAAAAATGAGCTCAGCGATTCTGGCCATTGTGATTATCACAATGCGGAGATGCAGGACAGCCATAGGTAACTTTCGGTACTCCAGATGTTTTGGACTACACCTCCTACATTATTAGTTTATATGTCTTTATTACTATATTGTGTATACGTGACTCCAGTATGGTGGCACACACTCAGTATCTGCTGTAACATTCTGAGTATTATACAGAGTAAATTGTCTTCATGCTGTTCTATTACACAATCCTAGATTTCCCATCATTACACTATATTCCAGTATATTCAGTGAAAGAATGTGATGCGGCTTCCAAAGAAAACATCTCACGTGTCTAGAGTCCGCTCACTATACAAAACAGGGAGCTGGTAAGAGTCATCATACCTGTAGTGTAAGATCCTGGGGGAGCTGCCAAAAAGAGAGAGAAGTGACGTTACAATGTGAACAAATTGTGAAATAAGCAAAAGTGTGTAAATAACAACCTTGTGTGTGAATAAATATTGACAAACAATGAAGGAAAAAGACTCCTGCGCATCCAGTATAAGTGTGCACACCCAGGTGCTACCACAGTTTATTGGAGGACAAAGTACAAACTGCAAACGTTTCGGGCGAGAGCCATTTCTCAATGCCAATGTCCTACAGTGTACACAAGATACAGACAATATATACACAAACAAAGTGCTTATGGTTATGGAAAGTTACCACACATCTGATCCTTTTTGTGTATCTGATTACTTGGGGGTGGCATTCTGGGTCATGTGAGCACTTTGTGTATATATTGTCTGTATCTTGTGTACACTGTAGAACATTGGCATTGAGATAGGGCTCTCGCCCGAAACGTTTGTACTTTGTCCTCCAATGGGAGTGCACACTAATACTGGATGTGCAGGACTATTTTTCCTTCATTGTTTGCCAAATTACAGTGTGGAGCTTCTGCAGCACATGTTTAGCCTTTTTTTGTCAGACTGATTGTGTAGGCATATTGTTTACCTCTACCTCACCCTATGCATAGTGAATAAATATTGGGGCTTTATTAAACATGGGGGGGGGGGGATTTTTTTATTTTTTTACAGGGAGCTGCAATCTAAACAATAAAAAAGAGCTAATATTAAAAAATAAATAGCACTGTCCGCAAAAGCATTTTTTATATTGTCATTTCTTGCAATAATTAATATATGAAGCAAAATCCCAATGCCAGTTTATGGTCAACCCAGGCGGTGATCAACGTCGGAGATCTTATGTTATATGGGGAATTTGGACATTTTGGCAGTCAGACCTGCTCTCCTAAAAAGAGCTATTTCCTACCAAAGTGTGAGGAGCCTATAACCCTTTCAACTCAATATTCTAACTTTCATCAGTAACTCACTATATTCAGAAAGGAAATAATACATTTTGTTTGGTTCACGGTCTCTTTAAGCTGCTTGGGTAAATGAAAGTTAATGCAGTAATATTGGATAAGGATACAGTGCAGTACACTGCTGTGTGTTACAGAGTCTGTGTGTCCTTCTTGCTCCAGCTATTTGTGTCTCTCTGTTACTGCTCAGTGTATGATATTAAAGACCCTCTACTAATAAACATAAACCAATTCCTATAGATTGCTCATTCTACATTGGCAATAAAGAGTCATTATGGTTTTGGAATTATCCTAAGATGGCCCATTATGTATTTGCAAGTGATCGTGGCTGCCATCACACTACAGCAGGCATATCTGTGATATCGGGATCTGTTACAGCAAATTTATTACCATGTAGTTTTCTTTATAAAAATACATTTAAAACAAACACAAATTGCCATGTACTTACGGACAAGGAAGGATGAATTCACAATCCTCTGATTCAGCGGTTGGGGGTCACGGACATTATTTTGGAGAGGAGAACTCGGCGTGGTAACTTTGGTGGAAAAGACCACTGTTTGGAGCTTGTCCAACTGCAAATATAAGTGGGTCGCGTGTGAGACTCAGAATGTCTTTAAACATTGGATAATCATAAGTGAAACACTTATGTTGTTTTGCTTTTTATATTTTATCAGCATGTGCACACTGCCTACAAAAGGTTTGTGCTGCATCTAACACGTCCTAGCACATGGAATGACGCACCAGGCACAGCAAGCAGACTGTACTCCATATTCATGGTTTTGGCAACAAAGGAAAATAAAATCACACCAGCATTTTATCTTCTGTAAGGTAGTACAATGCAGAGATAAAATTGTAATCATGTAGTGCAAATTAGGGGACATTTTTATCCTTACTGGAATTAAACACTTATCTAATTACATTTTCACCCACATCTAAATGTATGAGAAAGAGGAACCTACATGAGATCTCTCCCTCCCTTAAATCTGCCGTGCATTTTATTTGCAGCATCTGAAATACACACTGCACATGGAGTAAAGATGGACCGCTGTCGTGGCTTTCTACAATCTCTGCAGGAGTTTTTAAATGGTTTGTGGCCAGCAAGATGAGTGTCAAACAGCAGAGCGTGGACCAGATATCAGTGTTAATAAATAACACTGCATCTATACTGTGTACTGTGCAAATTGATTGCAAATATGCAGAAAAATTATTTTGTATTTGTTGAATTTTAACAAAGTTAAAATCAAGAAAAGAAACTAAGAACAGGTGTCTGCACAGCCTGACCATGACTGCATTCCACATCTTTGCACATCCATTGTCAGCCATCATAGCAAGTGACCTTGAATATATCACTAAATCTATACCTAGGATGACTGGTTCAGTTTAACAAAAGCATTATTTGAGGATGTGTGAGATTCAGTCTTTTGGTCAGTCAGTCTTTCCGTCTTAATTTTCCTTTTCCCGTAAAGTGTAATGATTTAGAAACCATTCAGACTGAATCAGTCCTGTTTACTGAAGAAATAGATATTGGTAATTTAATTGCACTGGGCTGATTTCAAGGATGGAAAAACAATGGCCTCCACTGCAATGTGTGAATATGTGTTCAGATATTTTACACAATATAGTTTCAATGTTGGATTTCCTAGACCATGACTGGTCCTATGTATAAACCCTGGTTCTTTGTTCTAAACAGGATTGACAGCAGCAGTAAAGTGACACCAGCAAGCCAAAATTTGCACGATTCACTGTTCCCGCTTTCTGGAATCGCAATCTGATTTAGGAGAGGTTTTGAGCAGATATTAAAGGAGCACTATATGGTCAGGAACACAAACATGGATTCCTGACCCTATAGGGTTAAAACCACCATCGAGGCACCCTGGTCCCCTCATGCCTCTGTAAATATAGTAAAATATTACTTGTATTCAAGGCTGCAGCTGCTTACGTTGTCACAGTTTCCTTTAGACCTGCCCACTGCCTGCTGACATCAGAAGTGGTAGCCTGATCCAATCACAATGCTTCCCCATAGGACTGGCTGAGACTGACAAGGAGGCAGATCAGGGGCAGAGCCAGCATGATTCAAACACAGCCCTGGCCAATCAGCATCTCCTCATAGAGATGAATTGAATCAATGATCTCTATGAGGAAAGTTCAGTGTCCGCATGCAGAGGGTGGAGACACTGAATGTTTGGATGCATTATTTTTTGCCACAGGAAGGATCTCTAACAGCCATCGGAGGAGTGGCCAGTGAAGTTATCACTAGGCTGTAATGTAAACACTGCATTTTCTCTGAAAAGATAGTGTTTACTGCAAAAAGCCTGAAGGGAATGATTCTACTCACCAGAACAAGTTCAATAAGCTGTAGTTGTTCTGGTGACTATAGTGTCCCTTTGAAGATTATCACATTTGTGCAAAAATCCCAATATACATCTTCTATCAATGTAAGATATTATTGACCGGCTCACCTGTGACCTTGAAATGTGCACTCTCTCGTGGAAGACTGTCCACAGAACACTTTGGTGGCAGGGGGGAGTTGTCAGTGACCCCCTGTATCGGAAGTAGTGATCTAAATTGTTAGGAAGTAGGTTGTGAACGTTGAAAGCTGGAACAGTCACGCTCTGGTCTGTACATCGCAGGAAGGGGATGGCAATGATTCAATATAAGAGAAAAATAGGGCATGGTTTATTAGAAATCTACAGGAAACACAATCTCATGTTTAGTCAGTTTGTTCCCCACTGATATGTAATTTACAGTCTATAATAAATCCACTGCTAGGCAGACAGATTGTCTTTTTAACCTTTTGTTGGAACACATTTGAGGAGAACACAAAATTATCTGTTAAGACTAGAGAAACCACAGTTCCATCTTAAAGCTTCTTCTACAATAGAAGACAAGGACATGTTTTTAGATGTAAATGCCTGAATATGCCTACAAGAAGTCTCTATTTTAACAGAACACAGTGACCTGCCATTCTGATCTGTGCATTAATCCTGCATTATGATTAGCTGCAAGGGAGCCAATAAGGATACAACCTTCATTTCTTACAAGTAATTTTTTCCCTTTGCCTGTACATCCGGTTTACTTCCATAAAAAGGAGGTGTCTTGCATTAGAACATTGTTAAAGATATATTATATTTTTTTAAATCAGTCCACATATGCCATAAAACAAAGGGTATAACACCACTGGGGTATTTTCATACCTGCATAGCTGACATTCTCCAGATAGTTGAAAATGTTCCCATAGGCAAGATTATCTGTAGCCCCGCTCTGCATCACCTGGGGTGAAGGAACAGGGGAGATTAAATTACCATATCCTCCTCCACAACTCCAATCCAGCATGGATAGTTATACAGTCTGATTGGTCCAGGTATAAAGCAAAAGATTTAACGGTTTATTAAACATTGGCCATTTCATTTTCTGCAGGAAAATATTAACCTGTACTCTCACTTAAATTCCATCAATGACCTACATGGTCATTAGTTGGTCAAGTAATAGCAAAGTGGTTACAGGGTGGTTCCAAGGAGCAAAATAAGGTATTTTCTAACTTAAGTGCAGGTTTGCAAATGTGTCCCAGAAATCTGCACAGTAGTGAACATTTGTCTAGGTCCCCAATTGGAGAACTGATGTTCCTTCGGTAGCATAGAAAGCCCTGCCAAAATGGTAGATTGTGATTGATCTACCTGACCTCGTAGGAGGTGTCTTTGGAAACTAACCCAACTGAAGGTTCTTTAGGAATAGTTCCATGGAACGCAATGTTCTGTCCTCACAGCAAGGCATGTCAGGCATCTCGTTGATATATCCTGTCAATACAGCAAGTTTCTAAATCTCCCAAACAAATTGTAATCTTGGCCACCGTGTAGAATGCCAGCTATTTTAGGATTGATGTATGCTTCAAACGGCTTAGCAATACTTCATCTGCAGGAGTCTAACAAGCCAAATTTTGAAATGATAAATAGTTAAGAACAGGTATGTTTCTCCATTCTTTTATAAATTTGCCCATTTTATGTCTGGTCAAGTATTGGCATGTTAGGAAACTACCCCTAATGGACGGTGGGCTCTCACTGTCATGTTTGATGAAAGACTATTAATTTTCTACTTTACTCATCCCTTATAAGGTGTGTTTACTAATGTGGAAAGTACCTGGCTGGCCATACACAGGAGTCCTTGTTGTATACTTGCTGATGGACAGAAAAGACTCCTCCCTCCTTTAATCCACCATACAATGACTGGCATGGTATTAGTGTGACAAGGTGCCATATTGAAAAAGAAAAAACAGCAGACAATAGCTGACACTCCAGGCACTATAACCAATGAGAAAAAAATAGTGCCTGGAGTCCCCTGGCGCTGTCCTTCCATTCAGTATTAAGCCATTTTCAGGGTCACTGGAGGTGTGGCTAAGGCAGAGATTATACAATTCTAGCCATACCAACAATGTACACTGTGATAGGCTAAAAGCAGTCAGCTGATACCCAGTCACTCATCCCTGCTGCTCTGTCTAATGCCTTATTATAAGCACAAAGGGGATGGACTGCTGAGAACCCCTGTTTAGCATTAAACCATTACAAATGTGTTATAAAATAGCTAAACTCCTTACATCAGCAACATTTTTCTATGTAGATAAATTCTCCCCTTGGGGTTTGTTTTATGCAACATTGTTTTTCCATACGGTTTGGCCTTAATAACTTCGTAAAAAAAAAAAATTAAAAAAAAAAGCTCCCTCCCATTATCAGGAGAGCAAAGTTACAGGCCAGAGATTGATTATTTCTTGTCCTCTCTGGGAATAGAATAGGACATTCCTAATTACTAGCCCAATATTTTTCTAGGATACTCCACCCTGTGAAAATTTAAAAGAACTTAGTCAGTGTCACGGCTGCTAGTGTGGTCCAACACGCAGAAACTATGTAAACATATACATACAAAAGGAAAGGAAATAAAAGGACAGAGCGTAAACCGGACCTTAGAATGGCCAGACTAATACGCTAGAGATAGAGAATGGTCAAGGAAGCCAGAAATACTCAGATACCGTTTAAACAAGCCAAGACAGGGGAACCAGAATTTGGAATAACCAGGGAAAAGCCAAGATCAGGATACCAGGAAGTAATATTCACAAAGATAAACGCTCTCTAGGGAACCAGGAACAGGAAACCACGACAGGGCAATGTACTGGGGTGAATTAGGGATTTAAATATCCCTCTCTAGGCTCTGATTGGTCAGAGGGTGACCTCTGACCCCAGAACGTGCGCGTGCGTTGACGTTGTGACGTCACGCGCACGGTCGTAAAATTTTGGGGGGTGGAGCCATGGATGGACGAGACCTCATGGTCGGTGCCATCTTAGATTTCCCCAAGCGGCGTGGAGGAACGGTTCCCGGCTCGCCGCTGAGCAGGTAAACTCAGTGAGTTGATGCGGTCGTGCCGGTCGGGCAGTTTCGTGTGTAATGAGAGGTTGAGTAAGAGGTCTCCCATCGATAGCCTCTACTAGTCTGGGTCTGTCTTTCTGCCTTAAAGGCAGAAGATGTTTGGCAGAAAATTCCTTATCAAGGAAATTCTCCGCTGCCCCAGAGTTAATCATGGCCTCACACTGAACAGTAGTTTTCTTACAAAACAGAGTGATTGTTATAAGAAAGCGGTTCTTAGTCAATTTAGGGGACATATACATAACACCTAAGGTCGGTCCCCGAACCTCTGATGTCCTTTTTTGCCACAATATAGACACAACCCCTCGTTGTGTCTGTATTGTCTCTCCGCCTCAGTCAGTTTGGTAATGCCCAATTGCATGGGTTCTGCTTCTGCAGGTGGAGCATGATTAACAGTCACTGGGTTAGAGAAACGAGGGGCTATAGACAAGTTTGTACGTCTAGTACGCAGTTTGTTTTTCTCCCTCTCTCTGAGCCTGTTGTCAATGTCAATCATGTATGCAATAAAATCATTAAGATTAACCGGAAGGTCTCTGGCAGCGGTTTCATCTTGTATATTTTCTGCTAAACCTTCCAAAAAAGCAGCCACCAAACCACTATTGGTCCAGTCAGCCTCAGAAGCTAATGTCCTGAACTCTATGGCGTAATCGGCTACAGAGCGGGTGCCTTATTTTATTCTCATTAAGGCTCTGGCAGCGTTTTTCGGGCACGGACGCACATGGCGGCGAGCCGGGGCCCGTGATATAAGAGTCTCCTCTTATACGGCTCTAAATGTAATCTTTCCCGTGGGCTACACGAATAGCTGTCTCCTTGTGTTTTATTTGCCAATATCCTCAGCTATCATTTTGCCAGCACAATGTAAAGATGACATTTGCATACATACCTGTAGTGGGTCACAGAGTCCCAAGAACAGCTGACAATTACAGGTTACAATTACTCATTTTAATTTCTAAAATATAAACTGTATCTCACCTCCATGAAGATCCCCAAGACTGCCAGTCCATCTGGTTTATTTTTGGCCTCGTTGATATCTGCATATTTGTCAGAATTGTAATGGACAATGTGCATCTGATAAAGAAATGTGTGTTAGCCAAACAACAATTCTTTTGTACAGAACAGTTTTTAGTTAAACTTCAAATGTACCTCTTAATTTATTTTCCATCAGACAGCACACCACCCTTTCTAATATAGAAGGACAAAGAAACAATATGATTTAATAGGTGGAATTAATCGAAGATGTTTTTAATGAACTCCAATTCCGATTTCACACAAGGTAACCAGAACTAGGTTGTATCGTAGACTCAGAAACATGATGGTAGTCAATTACATGCTGTGATCTGGTCGTCTAATGAGCTTACAATCTAATGTTATAGTAAGGCAGCCTGCTTACAATTTAGTGGTATAACAAACGCACATATACAGGTAAAATACAATATCTAATAATACAAAGGGAAAGCCAATCACATAGTGTAGCTGGTATTATGCAGCTGCCTGCAATCTATGGCTTCAGAGGTACCACATGTTTCAATGAATGAAAATAATACATTGGTAATTGGTATAAGGTGTGTCTTAAGTAACAATTTGGCATTAAAGTAATAATGTATTAAAGGCAAACGAGCCACGTAAAACGGGGGCTTACCATCTAGGGATATAGTGTATTCAATATATTCAATATTTAGAACTGTGAATCATTTGGTAAATTAGAAGAGACTGTCACTAACAGACTAGTCTAGCAGCTCTTCGTTCTTCAAGGAGCTTGCAATCTAATTGGGGTAAATAAACTCTGCCCAAGGGTTGTGATACGACTTTACATGAACACAGGCTGTCCCTTGGGATCTTTCGGTACTGGAGTCTGCATGTGGCATGTTATTGTACTGAGGGTATGGGCCTGTGAATCAGATTTTGCTGACACTGCTGGCTGGGTGATTAATGTGCTTTTATTTCATCGCTCTGAGCAGTATGTGGCCTCTGACAGCAGAGTTTGAAGCGTGAGAGCTCCTGCAGGATCTGGCTGCCCCTATAATCCCAGGACTAAAACCTCTGGGTTAAGAAAATCAAATAATGAGACAGAGAGAGACCCACTGGGTTTTAACTCTGTGAGGACCAGATGGCAAACGAAGGTCAAGTAACAAGGTACAAAATGGTCTCATGAGAATCATGACCAGATAAAGGTCCACATTGCTGGCCAGATTATGTCTTGTCAGTGGGGCTCCTTGGGCCTTTCCATGGGACACGCAGCAAACCACAACCTACCTACTGCAATAACCACTCTTTGTAAGGTCTATGTAACTGCCCTGCCCTTCTCTGAGGGGCAGGCGATGCGCAAGGCCTAACCTCTTCAAGCCACACAGAGTGGTCAGTTTCTTATTGTGTGGGAGAATAAAGAGTCATCGTCAGTTACTGTGGGAGATAAACGAGGCAACCACATGTCCTAGTGTTCACAGAAAACCGATTGCATTAGGGCAAGTTTTACTCATAAGCCTAAACAACCACAATTATAGAATTTATTAGACTGTGACTTCATGGATCCTAGTTTTCTTACAAAATACTATCTTATAGACTGTTTTATCCACATCGCCCTGCTGTAAGCTGTTCCAGGCTTCTCCATCTACATTGCTGAATAAAGATAGATCTGCAGTGAGAATATACAGTTAGATGGGGTCAGCCCTTAAATGACACATATAGAATGTCACAGGTGCTTTTAGCGACACTAGTACTGCTTTCATAAGAGCACAGGATCACTACGGCATTATTCATTGTTCTTACTAGGGTTAGGATTGCAATCACAATGTGGGGAGATGGAACAGACCCTCTGAGCCAGATAAGATAGAACCTAAAACCTCCTCTGTGTCCACACTAGTTAAGGGGTAACAATGCTGTACCTCCTTTTTGTAAAGTCTATACCCCATGCTTTAAAGGTAGATGCCATTTTAAAGTGAGGCAAATGAGGTCAATGTGAAGTTCTGAGCAGTGGAAGCAGACATTAAATATTTATTATGAAAAACCGTTTTAATTTACTTTCTATCATGCAGCAAATGAGCAACCTTTTTAAATCCCCAATATTTGACCTTAATATTGCACTTATCAGATGTTTACCACTGTTTGCTGTACCTCTGTTCTTGGGGTGCTTGGACACCCTTTGGTATTTACTGCAAACTTCCACACACACATTTAAGGAACATTGCATGGATTAGACAAATATAACCAAGAGCCGATTGACACAGATCAGATTCTAGAACTCCCCTCACCTATATATATGGACTATCCATGGGCTTGTACAACATATAGAAAATAAGGGACTGTTGTTTGTTACATAACAAAGTCCCTCAGTGATTTATACAATATATTTACATTAGACATATACACAAAAATTGCTTTAAATCGGTTGTTTTTTTAAACTGATTTAATTCTAGAACGGTTTAATTCTAGAACGGTTGCTTATCAGATCCCATCTCTCTATTCAAAAATCCTTTGCTTGCTGAGGATGGTGAGAATTGCAGTGTTACTTACAGAGTGTGTCTAGACATCATTCAGTTTGCCTCTTTAATATTCTACAGCAAAGATCTAATTAATAACAGAAAGCACATGACAGATTATCAGCCTAAGAGTCTGGCAGGGTACGAATATCTCACTGGGTTTATTACGCAGAACCAGAGGAGAAAGCATGTGAGGCTTTAAAACGGCTCTGTAACAAAAAATAAACTATATCTAATCTGCTTCTACATACCGCTCTGTGCCTTTACACCGCTCTGTGCCTATACACCGCTCTGTGCCTATACACCGCTCTGTGCCTATACTTGTTTGTTTTTTGAGTGTTCAAGTTTTTATAAAATACATTAAAAAAAACAGGAATACATCTCTCTTATGTATAGGTGATAAAACAATGGGCATGGCTTACAGGACCACTCCACAGCCATAGAGCACTTCACCTCACTCTCTACCCCCATATAGTGTTTTGTTAGGCAAGCAAGCAGAATGACACAAGCTATGCTAAAACAGCAGAGAGACACAGGGATGTTAGTTTGGGTATTGTGGAGAATTTATAAGGCAAATGCAGGATATAAAACTAAATGTAATAAGAGGGATTTGTGGCACTAGTTTGTATAACACCTAGAGATGCTTAAAGGGACACTACATGCACCCAGACCACTTGATCTCATTGAAGTGGTCTGGGTGCAATGTCCCTGTCCCATTAACTTTACAGCTGAAATCATGTCGTTTTAGAGAAATGCAATGTTTACCTTGCAGGGTTAAGACTTACTGGCTGTTTAACTCTAGGAAACGACTCTGGACATCCTCACACTTTGCATGATGATGTCCAGCAAAACCCCATAGGAAAGCATTTACTCAATGCCTTACTATGGAGAAGGCCTAGTGCGTGTGCGGAGTTAGGTTACCCATCGTGCTGACATAAGAGGAGTTGGAGATGGAATTAGGTAAGTGTTTAAAGCATTTTTAACAGATAGGCTTACTATAGTGTTCAACATACAAAAACTGTATTCCTTACACTATTGTGTTCTTTCAAAACATCAATTGTAACGTCACCTCTTACACTAAAAATAAAATAACCACTGTGTTTGCCATCATCTAATTACATGCGTATATAGTTACCAAGTGTAGTTATGAAGGTTACGGACAAAAAAAATATATTTTATCCTGGAACAAAGATATAAAAAGACACACCATTGATTGCTTGTCAGACTACACTACGATGTGTCTTTCTAGATTTTTGCTATAGCATATTTTTTCCATAATCTTCATTACTACACTTGGTAACTAAAACCACTGTGTGCCCTATCATCTAGCTGTGTGTATTATTGCAGAATTCCAGGATGGAACTATATCTTAGAATTTTATCTATGATGGCCTAAATTCTTGGTTTAGGGATTAAACCCAAAATACATCAGAAGGCAGCTAGCGACTCATATATAAAGATCAGGGCTGGTTTTACATCTCAGGCATTTCCAGACACCAGTTTCCTAGGCACCCCTATTGTTACCCCAAAAATCTTTTTTTCTGTTGCTTCCTTTGTGACCAACATTTGAAATAACATGAGATGAGCTGTTACAATTCCATGTTACCTGGAAGGTGTGCACTTACCTCTGCAGGAAAGGCTTTACTGTCAATCTGGTGCTCGGATCCAAATGGATGGGAGCTGCTACCCCAGTGCAAGTGGAGCTGGACGGCTGTGAAATTGTGAGAAAGACCTCTGAGGTGCATAGACGGAGACAGCATGAGCACCACTGGAAGAGAACACAGGGCAAGGATATTAGTACATAATGGAGATCCTCCAATCACTGGACCTGTAGCCTTGAAAGATTGAGCTGGACTATTTACTAAACGGTTACAGTTAGGTGATCAACATTAAAAACTATATTGTGTTTCTTATACATTTAATTGAGATGTGTAACACAATTGTAAGCACCTTTAGATAACATGTCGACTTCAAATATATATATATAGTCACATTGATATACTATAATGAAATGATACTTTAACACACCCACCTATTTCTCCACTTTATTTCACTTTCCTCAAATTAACATCGCTCCTCTGTATCCAATATACTTTTTTTACACTCCTATTTCATCCCTAGCTGCTTCTTGTACCATCTCTCTCCATTCTTCCACCTCATTAGTCACAACCCCGCCACTAATGATTCCCCATCGTCCCCTGAATACAGTGAGGGGGGAAAGTATTTGATCCCCTGTTGATTATGAAATGATCAGTCTATAATTTTATTGGTAGGTATGTTAACAGTGAGAGACTGAATAACAAACTAAAAAAAAAAAAAAAAATCAAGAAAAACGCATTTCAAAAAAGTTATAAATTGATTTGCATGTCAATCCGTGAAATAAGTATTTGATCCCCTATCAATCAGCAAGATTTCTGGCTCCCTGGTGTCTTTTATACAGGTAACGAGTTGAGATTAGGAGCAATCTCTTAAAGGTAGTGCTCCTAATCTCAACTCGTTACTTGTATAAAAGACACCTGTCCACAGAAGCAATCAGATTCCAAACTCTCCACCAAAGAGCTGTTCAAGGATGTCAGGGACAAGATTGTAGACCTACACAAGGCTGCAATGGGCTACAAGATCATCGCCAAACAGCTTGGTGAGAAGGTGACAATAGTTGGTGCGATTATTCGCAAATGGAAGAAACACAAAATAACTGCCAGTCTCCCACGGTCTGGTGCTACATGCAAGATCTCACCTCGTGGAGTTTCAATGATCATGAGAACAGTGAGGAACCAGCCCAAAACTACATGAGAGGATCTTGTTAATGATCTCAAGGCAGCTGGGACTATAGTCACCAAGAAAACAATTGGTAACACACTACGAAGTGAAGGACTGAAATACTGCAGAGCCCGCACATGCAGAGGCCCATCTGTAGTTTGCCAATGAACATCTGAATAATTCAGAGGAGAACTGGGTGAAAGTGTTGTGGTAAGAGGAGACCGAAATTTAGCTCTTTGGCATGCAGAGGGAACTTGCTGGCATTTCAGATCTGGACTTCCCATACGGGTGGGACCAGTCTGATATGCTTCACATATGTTCTCTCTGTAATGGCACTAGATGAGCTAAAACCAGGATAACTGAGTTGTCTGTTCTCACTACTTGCTACTTGTTTTTTTTTCTCTCCTTTGGCCTCAACTCAACATGTTTGGAGGAGGAGGAATGATGCCTATGACCCCAAGAACACCATCCCCACCGTCAAACATGAAGGTGTTTTTCTGCTAAGAGGCAGAACAACTGCACCGCATCAAAGGGACAATGGACGGGGCCATGTACCATCAAATCTTGGGTGAGAACCTACTTCCCTCAGCCAGGGCATTGAAAATGGGTCGTGGATGGGTATTCCAGCATGACAATGACCCAAAACATATAGCCAATGTAACAAAGGAGTGGCTCAAAAAGAAGCACATTAAGGTCCTGGAGTGGACCTTAATCCCATAGAAAATCTGTGGAGGGAGCTGAAGATTCGAGTTGCCAAACGTCAGCCTCAAAACCTTAATGACTTGGAGAGGATCTGCAAAGAGGAGTGGGACAAAATCCCTTGTGAGATGTGTGCAAACCTGGTGGGCAACTACAAGAATCGTCTGACCTCTGTGATTGCCAACAAGGGTTTTGCCACCAAGTACTAAGTTGAAAGGGGTCAAATACTTATTTCACTCATTGACGTGCAAATCAATTCATAACTTTGACATGCGCTTTTCTGTTTTTTTTTTGTTTTTTTTGTTATTCTGTCTCTCACTGTTAAAATACACCTACCATTAAAATTATAGATTGAGCATTTCTTTGTCAGTGGGCAAATGTGCAAAATCAGCAGGGGATCAAATACTTTTTTCCCTCACTGTACCTATCCTTTTCCGTGCTTTACACACACAGCTCATTTTCATTTGTTGTTCCCATGGCAGCATCTCCTGACAGTGCCTCGCTCTATCCTCCTTCCAAAAGGACTTTTGGCTAACAAAGATCTCTTCTCATTCTCTTCCTCAGCCAAGACCAACCAGCAAACATTATTTAACAAGTCTATTCCATTAACATCTGTGCCCAGCTAACTTTACCGTGACCCCCTCCACGCTTACATTATAAAATCCCTGAAAACAAAGAGCTATGCTATAATTCTGAAATTACTAGACCCAGGAGTAACACTTCTCCTGCAAACTAAATGCAAACTTTAAATCTCACTGTCCCCCGTGTGACTTATACACTTTGTAAACAGACTCCATTTTGTTTAAGTAAAATAAGAAAATTAACATTTACCTGATCCTAGAAAAACAGTCTATATTCAAAAAGTATTATTTTTGACTATTCATTTGATACTACGAACAATATATGTTTAACATCTATAACTTTATATGGACACCTACAGACTCCATGTATTAAAAGTAAAAGTAATAAAAGCACAAATACACAGAAGGGTACATCATGTTTTCTCTAGTTTTAAAATACATGCTAGTGTACAAGGTTATTACAGTCCAATTTAAAAGGACACAATAGTCATCAAAACAACGTTAGCTTAATGAAGCAGTTTTGGTGTATAGATCATGCCATTGCAATCTCACTGCTCAATTCTCTGCCATTTAGGAGTTAAATCGCTTTGTTTATGCAGCCCTAGTCACAGCTCCCTGCACGTGACTTACACAGCCTTCCTAAACACTTCCTGTTAAGTGTCATCTAATGTTTACACTTCCTTTATTGCAGATTTTGTTTAAATTTAGAATTTCTTATCTCCTGCTCGGTTAATAGCTTGCTAGACCGTGCAGGAGCCCCTTTGTGTGATTAAAGTTCAATTTACAGAGTAGGAGATATAAACTTTCAAACTAAATTACATCTGATTGAAAATAAAACCTTTTTTTCATGCTGGCTGTGTCAGTCACAGCCAGGGGAGGTGTGGCTATGGCTGCATAAGCATAAACAAAAGTAATTTAACTGCTAAATGGCAGAGAATTAAACAGTGAGCCTTCAAGGGTATGATCTATACACCAAAACTGCTTAAATAAGCTAAAGTTGTTTTGGTGAATATAGTGTCCCTTTAACACGTAGAACCGAAGAATAAGAAATTAAGTCTATCCCATGTTGTTCGCTGGATGCATGCTTGCAGAGAGGGAAAATGCAACAAATGCTGGTTTAGACTACCGTTTCTATGATGATAAAACCCAGATGTACCTATTGCTTAAACCAAAGAAAAACAGTCCCATATTAAAATGGTAAACTGTCTGATCCATCTCCTGGGATGAATGAATTCCGACTGGTCTTAGCTCAGCCTGGATAAACCCTGGATCTTACTTCTACATGCAAGACACCACATCATGATAAGACGAAGCTGCTTGCCTGATCTTGATACAATTACATACCAAATGGTTTGTTCACTAAACACGAGTATAACCCTTATGTGTCCCTCAATAGGAAAGAATAAAGGATCTTAACATGTATAGCTTGGAGGAAAGACGAGACAGGGGGGATATGACAGAAACATTTAAATACATAAAGGGAATCAACACAGTAAAGGAGGAGACTATATTTAAAAGAAGAAAAACTACCACAACAAGAGGACATAGTCTTAAATTAGAGGGACAAAGGTTTAAAAATAATATCAGGAAGTATTACTTTACTGAGAGGGTAGTGGATGCATGGAATAGCCTTCCAGCTGAAGTGGTAGAGGTTAACACAGTAAAGGAGTTTAAGCATGTGTGGGATAGGCATAAGGTTATCCTAACTATAAGATAAGGCCAAGGACTAATGAAAGTATTTAGAAAATTGGGCAGACTAGATGGGCTGAATGGTGCTTATCTGCCGTCACATTCTATGTTTCTATGTTTCATAGATGCAAAAATTGAGAGGTATGAGCTTGGAAGGGGGTGGCCAGACTGGTGGAATAAGGGAAGGACTGCAGGGGAAAGGGTCTTGTGAGCCAGGTGTGAATGTGCTTACTGACTGACTCAATGGTCAGTCCCAATTAGGAATGAACATGAGCAGATTTGAGATGCCAGGAAACAAAGCTGGAACAGCAGTATAGAAACATGAAACCATGACTGGCCCATTTGCTCCAGGATAGTTGGTAGGCAGACAGTCCATTATAATAAAGTCCTCTCTTTCCACACGAAAGCCTGGGATTAAAGGGACACTTTAAACCCTTAAGGACACATGACATGTGTGACATGTCATGATTCCCTTTTATTCCAGAAGTTTGGTCCTTAAGGGGTTAAAGGGTTACTCCAACCATCATAATGATGGTTTGGTTGTGATGTTAAAAGTACCCTGGCTCATACCCTTGTAATGGGAAAACCATTTTGCAATGGTTTGTCTTCTTACTTGGGGTCCCACGAGGCGCCAAGGGTCTCTTCCTGCAGTTGGTGATGACATCCAGCTTCTGCAAAGCTGTAGAAGCCGGATGCTGATCCCAATCCCAACAGTCATTGAATGATGCCCTGTGCACAGAAATATGCACAGTATGGTTATCAGTTAGTCTGGAACCTTTGTTCCGGGCTGGTTAATGAAGCCCCACTGACACGGCCGGAATTGGGAGTTACACTCCGTTCAGAATGTGCTGAGTTTCATAGTGAAACGCTTTACATACAGACTCCAGGTACCATGACCACTTCAAATCACTAAAGTGGTCATTGTGCTTGGGGGTAACCTTTTAAGCCCTAAAACTACTAAGATATATTTATATATCATATTAAAGTAAATTGATCACTTTTTATTATTTCATGAAAAGATTACATGTCATATAGCCTTACTGAGTATTGTTTTTGCAATAAATACATAAAAGGTAACTTAATTTTCTGACTTGCTCAGTGGGGTCAGCGTCAGCCAAATATAACCCTCTTTGGTCAGAAGTAACACTTATCTCCTAAGAATGAGACAGTCACTAGAGGCTTTGAGGGCTGGATTAACCCATTTATAAACATAGCTGTTTCTCTGAAACTGCTATGTTTATAAAAAAAAAAAAAAAAAAAGGGTTAATCCTAGAGGGACCAGGCACCCAGACCACTTTATTAAGTGGTCTGGGTGCCTAGAGTGGTCCTTTAAAGGAACACTATAGTGCCAGGAAAACAAACTCATTTTCCTGGCATTATAGGGTCATTAGGTGCCTCCCACCCTCAGGGCTGAATGGGTTAAAACCCCTTCAGCCACTTGCCTTTCTCCAGCACCGGGCTCCCTCTATGCTGGGAAACTCTCCACCCCCTGCAGATGTCAGATCCGAATGCGCGACAAGAGCCGCGCATGCATTCAAACAGCCCATATGAAAGCATTATTCAATGCTTTCCTATGGACAGCAGCGTCTTCTCACTATGATTTTTGCAGTGAGAATCACCTCTAGCGGCTGTCATTAAGACAGCCACTAGAGGCTGGATTAACCCTCAGTGTAAACATGGCAGTTTCTATGAAACTGCTGTTTTCAGCTGCAGGGTTAAAACTAGAGGGACCTGGCACCCAGACCACTTCATTGAGCTGGGTGCCTATAGTGGTCCTTTAACTTATAAGTATGCATTGCAGAATAATAAACAGAGGCTATAATACATGTGATCTTTTATTTTTACTGTTAATTCAACTAATGACGGTTTTCTTTGATGGTGAACTAAGGAAGTAAATGGCAGTGCCCCACTAATGCCCTCTTAATAGAAAAATAAGTGGATTTGTGGGGTGCTGTTCTAAATATAAATACAACACAATTCACTGTTTAAACCAATAACTTTTAATGCTATATTCTCAATTACAATTTTCTTTGTAATTAGTCTGCAATTTATTACTTTGCAGGGAGTGTTAGCGTTTTAGTATCGCAACGTCTGGTTACAGCAATTATCTCATTCAAACCTCGCTGATGAAGCAAATTGTACAGCTCATCTCATTCTGATGAGTCAACGGAAAGATGAGTGCCTCTTTTCACATAAACGCAGGCCTAGTGTCCTGTGCATATGATGTGGAATAGGCTTGTAAAACAAAGTGATAATACAAATCATTTACATCAGTGTGGCTGAATCTGTTGCTATGGAAACATCACATTAAAATTCAGGCCTTGCTTTACTCATTAATCACACGGGGTGCAACAACCAGGGAAGAGTGAAGCATGACAACATACAGGGCTAATATATATATATATATATATATATGTGTGTGTGTGTGTGTGTGTGTATATACACACACACCTCATACTCCCCCAGAGGGAATATTTCTTTCCCACCTGGTAACTAACCTTTTTTCAAATCTGTTGGATTACGGGAGAACGAAGAGAAGAGATTAGAATAAGCAGTCCTGATTTCTGAAGCATAGTTAGCACATTTGTTTTTTTTAATAAAATAAACGTTCAATATGACAGTTACCTTTTAAAAAAATCAACATTGTAACATTGATATTTTTAAAGTGAATGTTCGCTCTGTGTCACCAGGGCCGGACTGCCCCACCGGGATACCGGGAAATTGCCGGTCCGGTGGCACACTCAGAGGGGGCCGGCCGCGTTCCAGGCTGGAGCTGCCGGGCCGGGTGGCAGCCTCGCCGGTCCGGCACTTCTGTCACTGATGATACTGAGGGCTGGGAGCATGTCTATCTACCATGCTCCTTCGCGGTTCCCACAATTCACAGCACAGTATGATGCATCGGTATGTTGTGCTGGGGATTGTGGGAACCGCGAGGGAACATGGTAGATAGACATGCTCCTCCTCCCTCAGCATCATCAGTGACAGCAGTGCCGCCGGACCGGCGAGGCTGCCAGCGGGCCGGCAGCTCCAGCCTGGAACGCGGACGGCCCCCTTGACTTCTCTAGGTAAATGGGGGGAGGGGAGGGGAATAAAACAGAGAGGGGAATAGACACAGGGGAAGGAGGGAGAAAGAGACAGAGGGGGAAAAAAGAGGAGGAATAGAGAGATGGTGGAAGGAGGAGAAAGAGACAGAGGGGGAGAAAGAGGATGAATAGAGAGATGGTGGAGGGAGGAGAAAGAGACAGAGGGGAAAAGAGATTTGGAGGAGGGAGAGACACAGGGGGGAGAACGATACAGAGGGGGAGAAAAGGAGGAATAGAGAGATGGTGGAGGGAGGAGAAGGAGACAGAGGGGAAAAGAGATTTGGAGGAGGGAGAAAGACAGAGGGGGAGAAAAAGGAGGAATAGAGAGATGGTGGAGGGAGGAGAAAGAGAGAGGGGAAGAGAGATTTGGAGGAGGGAGAGACACAGGGAAAGGGGGGAGAACGAGACAGGGGAAAAGAGAGACAAAGAGGGAGAAAGGAGAGAGACACAAGGGGAGGGGGAGAAAGAGGCAGAGGGGGAAGAGAGAGACTGGGAAGGAGAGGGGAGATATTGACACAGAGGAGCAGTGAGGGGGAGAAAGAAACAAACATACAGAGTGACTGGGGGGAGACATAAAAGGCACACAGAGGGGCCAGAGATAAAAAGAGACACACATAGGGGCTGTATATATCACTGGTGGATAGGGGGGCAACGGGGCAATTCCCCCACCACAAGGCCGATCTCCCTCCCCGTTCCGCAGGCACCGTGCGGGCAGCCGGCAGGGGAGGGAGGAAGAGAGGACCCGGGAGCTCAACCTGCAGCTCCCCTGGGTCCTTCTCGCGCGAGCACTGAGCGTTGCCGCAGTTACCACGGCAATGCTTTGGCTCTCACGAGGGTGAACTCTAGCCCTGGAGCTAGCGTTCACTCTCACCACTGCGACCACCAGGGATTCCTGGTGGTTGCAGTAGTGAGAGTGAACTCTAGCCCCATACACACACTGCCCACACACACCATACACATTCACACACTGCCCCCCCATACACACATTGCCCCACACAAACACTACACATCCACTGCACCACTGCTCCAATACCCTACTACAGCCCCATATCCCAGCAGACTCCAGGTAAGTTATCAAACTGTTCTTAAACGGTTTGACTACTTACTCTGGGAGGGGGTCCCGGCACTCCTGGCATCATAACCACTACACAGAGGAGTAGTGGTTATTGTGCATGGAATATTTCTTTAAATACTCTACAAGTGCCCCTCCCGGGATCAGGCTCTGGATCCGCCACTGGTATATGACATGTATATTAATGTGTGTATTAGTGATTATTTATATATATCACTGGACTAATACGGCTACAATCTCTACTTATATATATATATATATATACACATATATATACACACACACACACACACACACATATATACATACATATATATATATATATATATATATATTTATGCCTATTATATTTACACATATATTAATGTACATTAATATATGCATAATACACAGAGAAATGTCATTAATATGTACCATATGTAATGAGCAGATATTGGCCCAGTCTTGTTGCTATTGGCCCAGCACAATAACATATTTAAAGTGAAGAGCGCACCCACAGGACTTCAAAATAAACATTTTTTACAGTTGTGCCCTACATACATTCACCATTTCAGTCCCATTAACAAGCTTTCCTTAGTATGTCAAGGTAGTTGGACTGAAACATTGATTACATGCAAAGGCACATCTGCTTAAAATAAATCTCCACTTTTGTTTATTTTGAAGCCTATGAGTGCGCTTTTTACGTTGGAGTAATAATTTTTAATTTTAACTTATCTGTTCTAACTCTGTATCTGCACACTATGCTGGCGCAACGCATTATGGGGCTGGTAAATATTTTTTTTCCAGGGCTACTTTTAATTCCCAGTCCGGCCCTGTGTATCACAGATTTCTACGCCATGTACAGGCCCCCGACGTGTGTAATTCATTCACAGATCATGGCTATTTTCACTCACTATACGTGTTCTAACAGTTTTTAAATAACTGTAAACCTGTCCGGGATATCATTTTCACATCAGGTTTGCCGTTACATTTACAATTTTCGCACCAAGTTGATATTAGGAAGAATGTAGCGTGATGTTGACAAAGTGAAGATGATAGCGATGTTTTACTGGCAATTCATATTTCTGGAATATTTTGCAAGCATGAATTCAAATAAGCAATTTTGGTCACCCAAGCCAAGGGGTTAAATGTTTTGATATTGTTTTTGGTGTGAAACGCCCTGTTAACTGCTCTTTCTGCTTCCCTGGGTTTTAGTAGCGCCTCCATAAATACACTGACAGTGCTTCTTTGTATAAAGGACAATACGCAGAGTCCTTGATACATTTCAGCACATCAACAAATCAGTCTAGCAAACTAGCCTCTGCTATGCACTAACCAAGCAACACATCTTCTCTACTGCTGTAATCCTAAAACAAACAGTTTATGGGAGATTTTAATGTGGGATTAATTTGTATTCACTCTGACTTCAGTGGAACTTCAACATTTACAGTCAAAGTGTGTGTGTTTGCATGCTGTTCTGTTATTTACAGAGGGTAAGCACAGTTTCAGTGATGGTTTCTTCAAAAATAAAAAATAAAGGGGATGTTTGTTTACTCCAATGGACAATGCACAGGAAGTTATTCATGGTGAAGGACATCAAACTGTCCTTAACAGAAGGGCCAATAGTGCAGTTTAAATGAGCTATTTAAATATGTTAATGGACAACACATTCTCAGGAAGGATAAATCCGCAAACAGGGCCGAGCTGGTAACATAAAAAGATCAGGGAATTTCAAAGCACAGGAGCCTACTTTCATAATTTTGGAAATACAAGCGCAATCTCTTTTTTTTTTTTTAACATTATTTTCTATGCATTTATAAAAAAATAAAACTCTGAGAATCTCATACCTTCCAATTTTGGAAGGTATCAACTTATCAAACACGGGTGGAGGCAGAGCTGAAGGATACTTTGAGCGTCAGGTGACCGATCTTTATGTAAAGGTGTATCAACTTATGCATGTGTGCCACAATGAATGGAAGCCATGCAGGCCCACTCCATTCGGACTTTCCAATGCCCAAGGTAAGGATGACAATAAATTAAGAAAAAGTATGATGGTTCCTCTGAAGAAAATAACTTAAAAAACTGATCATCCTAACCCTAGGTGGGGAACAGGACCTGCGTGTCCACACGGTCATCCAATATACCATGTGAAAGTACTACCCACTGTTTACATCTCATAGGACCTGCGAGTCCAACACATAAATGTTACTTGTTTTTAAAATGTGACCACTGCCTGTCTACTTGATTACATTTTCTCCCCCCCCCCCTTCTTTCTTTTCTCCTTTCATGTTCCAAGGCGATAAGCACTAAGTGCAATTAATGGGACCTGCGTGTCCTTGTAAATGCTTTCTTATATGACATGACATGACTGAAATTGGAATATTGAAAATACCTAATAAAATATATATTAAAAAAAAAAAAAAAAACAACTGATCATCCTTGTCGACCTTATTTATTTTATTGTTATACTGTAGTTAACAATCTTTAAATAAAAAATAAGAAAGAAAAATAAATAAAAACTATGATCAGCTAAAGTAGTCCAAAGCTGTACATCTGATATGGATGTAGTTTTAAGAACAGATGCGTCCTTTGCTGCAAGTCAAGCAGGCAATTTAAGGACTCCCTGAATTATGATAAATGAAGGGCCATTACCTGTATAGAGTGAATTAAAGGGACACTATAGGTACCCATACTATTTCATCTCATTGAAGTGGTCTGGGTGCACTGTCACTGTCCCCTTGGCCCTCCAGCTGCAAACATTGCAGTTTTAGAGAAACTGCAATATTTACACTGCATGGTTAAGACTGCCTCTAGTGGCTGTTTACCAGACAGCCACTAGAGGCTCTTCCTGGCCTTTCACAGACTGTGACTGTGTGGAGCAACGCTGAATGCCCTCATGCTTTACAGGAGGACATCCAGAGTCTTCTAAAGCCCCAACAGAAAAGCACTGAGTCAATGCATTTCTGCAGGCAAGGCGTAATGTGGCACTTCCCGAGCAATGAGCATTATGTTCCCCAGTCAGCTGATGTTTCCGGAGGAACTTCAGAGCTGTATTCAGGTAAGTGGGGGGAAAAAATAAATAAAATAAAGTAATTTAACCCTTTACTTGCCACTGAGGGATGTAAGGGAGGGGGAGGGCACAGAGACCATTTGGTGTTAGGATTACATTTTTATATTCCTAACGCTAGAGTTTTCCTTTAAAAGTCAGGATTTACCAAATGCCTGTAAGATGCTTAAAGGAACACTCCAAGCACCATAACCACTACCACCCACTAAGTTAGACAAGCCTATTAGCAAGATTGTCCCCAATATGGAGTCTAACAAACCTCAAAAATGTACTATATGCAGGATACACCCCGTACTTTCACTGCTACCCTAACCTACAATGTAACGGATAACTTTAATACACATGGCCAATATATGTATTAGGGGAAATTAAGACCATATCTTCGAGATATGTTATTTATCTTGATTACAGCTGCAGAACATGGTTTCAACTGAAATAACAGCACATATAAACAAAATAAAACCTTGGGTTAAAATCAGTCTTTCCTTTACGTACACTAAGTTGATGGATATATGTGAAGTGTTATGCATACACTGAACACAGGGGATGATTAACTTGGATGAATTTGTCATGGAGTTGAGCTTTGGGGTTGTTCAAATTGGCTTCACAACCCTCAAATGTCTCAGTTGGGCTATGAACAAGTTCTCATGGGTCCACAGCGGGAGTGTCCTCTGGTTATAGATGGATGGATAGAGTGTAATATGCATGCAGGGATTGTTTGTGTGTGTTCCTTCAATTAAAAATAAATAAATAAATAAATAAACTGCATTCACCCCAAAGAAAAAGAAAAAAAAAGAGAATCAACATTGTACACTATCTTAGCTATAGTTACATGTTTTCATACAGCAATGAACAATATATTGTGGGTGATGTTACCTGTATGACCATTGTTTCTAAGGGTGAAAGATCCAGTTCCAGGAGTACTATATCCAATGGGCTCTATAGGCTGTAAGGAATCATCGTAGGACACATTGGCTGTCTGGATGTTGACTGGAGACTGGGCTGTCCCCCCACAGTCTGGGTAGGCTTCTTTCCAGTGTTCTTGTCCTTCATGACCTGTCGTAGAACATATCAAAATCAAATGTTCTGGACAATTTAAATCTTGCACAGCATTTTAGCACAGGTCACACCTTTACAGGTTTTTGTCACAGGATAAAATCAGACAAATGCACATAGGACATATTTTAAACCACAACCTACAAACTATTCCGAAATTACTCCTGTGGGATGTTTAATACCCTAAAAATTACAAATGTGGTCTTATTTAACCCCTTTCAAATGGTAGAAGACTCAACAACAATGGATGAGTTTTACTCATTGTGTGATCTAAACATGGTGCCGACTGCCGAGTTGTAAAAGTGATGCAATCACTATGGAAACAATGGAATCAGCAGGTGAATTTTTTTTAGTTTATGGCATACTGGTAAATGTCCCGCTTTAGCATGCATTCCAGTCCTCAAAGGGCATTCATTCTGTGGGGGGTATAGAATAGAGCAAGTGGGAGTTATTCCGCAGCTCACTATTTGCATTTAAACTAAAGCCTGCTTTTGTTTTCGCTCTTATTTCTCATCAGGAAACAAGAACTGGTGTTATACAGCAGTGTGTGAAACTGGCCCCATGCCTTTCAATAGATTTACCCCGCTCCTGACCTTCAAAATAGGAAGAAAAGAAAAAAAACACTATACAAAGGGGATAATTGGCTGAGGGACCCCCAGTCTATTAATACAGTTGACTGCCAAAGCATGCAGCAAACTATTTCAGCAGTTCCCCTTCAAAATTATAGCTAAATAAAGATTAACCCAAACGAAAAAGGCCAGCTCTACTACACAAAGATTATTAGATATTAATAAAGCACCAACATATACTGTAGCACTGTGCATTAAAATAAAAAGAAATAAATGAAAAATAAATAAGGACGTATCACTATTTACTATTATCAGCAGGTAGATATTCCGGACTAGTAAAGTGGTTTTATCAAGTAATATCATTAAATATTCACTAATCTATGAATTGTCAGAAATTGCTGAGTGTTTGAAACTTTAGGCCAAAACACACAATTGGCAAAAAAATCCAAACCATATATTTTTCGAAGATGGCTAGTTTTGCCTAAAATTTGAAATTTTGCAGTGTAGTGGAGAACCCTATACATATCGTCTGTGTAGGTTGTTTAACACCTTATAGATAAATAAAATGTCAGCGCAACAATGCACACTAATTCAGAGACCCTCCATCTTTATATAGCTCCAGGTAAGCTGACCTACTGTCACTTATTGAGTAGAATGTAACATTTATTGTGAAAGACTAGATTGCTATGGCAGAATTATACCATCAGTGGTAAAGAGGTTAAGTAACGAAGTGTGTGATCATGGAATTTAGTTAGAAAGGAAGAGGAGGACACCGTGAATTGCTATTAAGCAGGTTGCATTAAATGTTCCATTCCTCGGGACTGTCAGAGAGGTCTGGTAAGCATCATTGAGAGTAAATATCATGAATCATAACAGTAATTAGTAGAAGGTGGATTTGGCTATGAGAGGGGAGTAGGGAGAGGAGTCAATGCCATACCTTAAGATAGGAGATTCTAGGCATTGCATGGAGGGAAGATTGAATGTATCAGGACGAGCTTTGGAGGGGTCTATGAGAAGGAGGCTAATGGGATAAGTTCAAGCACAGTTTGTGAGTGGGTTGCGTATATGAATCCACAATGCAGGACAGACGATTAATCAGGGCTGTGGCCCTTTAAAACGCCTTAACTGGTGGTCTGCCACCTGCTCAGTAAGTGTACAATAAGTACTATAACTACAATTCCAGTATTATGTGCAGGAAGGTATACACACACAACCATACTACAGGCTGACAGCGATTTAATAACTGACAAATAAAATAAATTAACTCCATTATTCAGTAACTAATTTTCCCCCAGATTTCATTAAATAAGTGTCAAAGATGTTGATTTGCCATTCAATGTTTTATACGCACACAGAGAAGTAAAGTAAAGCTGTACGTTACTCCTCAGAAAACATACACTAAATATTTTTGTGGTCATTTGATCACAATTAACTCTAGTACACTGGAGCTTATAAACAAATGTATTACAATCAAGAGGACTCTGCTCTTCAGGATATTTAGATGTATGACCCCTGGATTGAGAGTCATTGAGGGTGGCTGTTTGTAGGTCCCCAGAGGTAAATAAAGTTAATTGGACCAGTTTGTGCAGAAACTCTAATGAGCTATACAGGAAAGATGCTGCCTGTATGGTAACTGCCTGCACCATTTAAAACAATGGTTTAGATTAAATTACCGCAGATAACATTCATCACAGTCTCTCAATATAGCCATAAAAAATAACTACTTTTACTTTTTGTTCCTGGAAGGCTGGATTTTATAACAGGCGGCAGCCATTTTCTTATCTTGTCTCTGTGCATTCAGCTCACTAAATAGACTTGGATTCTAACTGTGTTCAGTTTGATTGAATGAAATTAACAACAAATACACAACATTAATGTCTAAAAATTGTTTTCTCCTGTTATCGTCATTGAGTGACAATGTTTGTGACTTTTGCGGCAGGTAACAAGAATGTGCAAACTATTAACTATTACCTTGAGTCTTTCTTAATAACAGTAAACAGAAGGATTAAAGGGACACTTAAACACCACAACCTCTATAGCCCACTGTAGTATAGCGCCAGGAGTTTCCAGGCACCCTCCCAGTGTTTTACAGCTTACCTGGGGTCCCGCAGGCACCTGCTAGGAGTTCATGTAAGCTACACTGAGCTTGAGCTAAGCCCTGAACATGCTCAGCCTGCACTGCAGGTATTAACTCAAAGCAGGCGCTCCCGGGGCACAGGACGAGGTAATGGCACCTGGCAGACCCAATTCTGACTACTTACCCTGGGAGGGCACTTCGCTGTCTTGGTTATGGTACTTAGTGTTCCTTTAAACGCACAGCGAGCAATATTCCTTTGTAAGTATGCTTATATTTAACAGAGTTCAAGCACGAAAACTCCTGCAAAGAATTATCTTACCTGTGTAAGTCCAAGAGGAACCTGGAAGAAAGAAAAAAAAAAAAGTATGAGGAACGTCATTATCAATAAAACCCATCATGAGTTACTGAATTGCAGCAATGTGTGTCTTAATACTTTAAAGAATGAATCGAGCGATCAGATTGCCATTGTGAGCACTGCACCCACTACAGAAACATTTTTAAATACAGCATAGTATGCCAATGCACACTGTACACTTAAAGGGACTCTCCCCATCCACAATGAAGATCAGCCATTTTTTAGTATTATTATTACACAGATAATGCTTTGATAATAATCTGTACATGGTTGTTCCCATTTGTAGGTCATGCATTTTTGTAATTTTATCCTCCCCCATCCCGATATTGGTGTGGTGTCCCATAAGGCAGGAACGCTGGTGCGTGTGCCTAGGCCTTACCACCAAATACCAGATAGTGGCTCAAGAAAATAGAACAGCCCTGTTTTACCTGCATAGAGCATGGGGTTTGTGGGATTTGTATCTGTGAATTCAAATGTTACCTTTCTACTGCAAAAAGCGGGCTACAGAACTACCAAACCCCTGCTGTGCAATCCATTCCAGACGCAGCATGCTTAGGCTGAGTGAAGCATGGTGCGAGGTACAATAGAGTACGGAATAAACGTATAGGATAAGTGTTCTTTCGCACATGTTGGTGTTCCTGACCCTATAGTGTTCCTTTAAGTACAAAACCAATGTTTAGACAGGTCACCAGTGAGTTCTTTATACATTGGGGCTGAATACAGAACTTGATGTGGCTGCACACGAGTTATGGGAGTTTAAGAGCAAGGTTAATATGATGCAGCATATCTTCGTTTGTGAAACAGTCCTCTAAATCTTTTTGTATTGTGTTTTCCTTTCAGTATAATAAAGTAACCAGTTTTGGAATTTTATTATTTGATTAAAAGAATTTGTTTTCATGGTCAGATAAATGTTGAAACAGAAAACAAGAAATAAGCTATATTTTTTGGGCTGGTAGCCAATTCTTCCAGTGAGAACATCTTTCTAATTGTTTAAGAGTTTATCTTGGAAATTGTACAGCTTTCAGGACTGTAGCTTGAATTCAGTCTTCTTAAAGAGATACTATAGGATACAAGGTTGTATTCCTGGGACTATCACTCCCCCCTCTCTCTGGTAAATAAAGGGTTGGAAACCCTTTATTTACTTACCGAATCCCAGCCCCGATGTCCCCATAGTGTGGGGCCAATGTTCCACCACCTCTGGCGTCCTGCAACGAGCGAGCTCTAATGCGCATGAGCTGCAAATGGCACACACGCCTTAGACCTAGAAGAATCTGACGCTGGATGTCCTCATGCAGCAATCCAGGAAGCCCTCTACTGGCTTTTTGTTAGACAGCTACTTGACGCAGACTTAGAGCAGTTTTACATTGCAGCACTAAGGGCAATAGGGACACTGCATCCAGACCACTTCAGTGAGCTGAAGTGGTCTGGGTGCCTGTAGTGTCCCTTTAATGTAGTTGTTCCGGTGAGTATAATAGCTCCCTTCAAGCATTTTCATGTAAACACTGCCTTTTCAGAGAAAAGGCAGTGTTTACATTGCCCCTATGGACACCTGTAGGGGCTTCCTGGCTCAGGGCTGCTGAATTTTCTTCATAGAGATGCACTGATTCAATGAAGCTCTATGAGGAGGTTCTGATTGGCCAAAACGGTATTTAGACCCACTCCCGTGCCGATTTTAGCCATTTCAATGCTTTCCCTGTGGGAAAGCATTGGATTGGCTAAAAATCGTCTATTTCGATTATGTCACAAAGGGGACGGAGCCAGCGCCCACGGACCAGCGTGGTGCTGGAAATAAGGTGAGTTTTAAACTTTGATAGGGGGGCAAGAAACCTAAATGGTGGGTTTAGCACTATATGGTCAGGAATACAGGTTTGTGTTCCTGAACCTATAGTGATCCTTTAAGTTGAATGGAATGCTATAAATTAATGTGACAAAATTGAGAGCTGTTTATTAAAGCTTGAAATATCTCAGGGACTTATACGTGTACACTGGGACTGGTGCTAGTATGGGAGCAAAGAGCACTTGTCCCTAATATAGGATTATATATAAAAGAGTAGCTGTGCCAAGTCTCGGATTACTTTGAACTTTATTTTTTTTTGGGTGCTCACATCTGCATGTTGGATGACCGCTCCCATTGAGATACAGCTGATAAGGATGCCATATCAAAACAAATCGTAGGAATTCTGTTGATCAGTTTACTACTATGCGTATATTCTTTTATAGTAAGTATATTCTATTTTTTGAGCAGAGTATCTTTTTATTAAAGGACCACTATAGTGCCAGGAAAACATACTCGTTTTCCTGGCACTATAGTGCCCTGAGGGTGCCCCCACCCTCAGGGACCCCCTCCCGCCCAGCTCTGGAAGGGGAAAGGGGTTTAAACTTACCTTTTTCCAGCGCTGGGCGGAGAGCTCTTCTCCTCCGATCCTCCTCTTCTCCTCCCCGTCGGCTGAATGCGCATGCGCGGCAAGAGCTGCGCGCGCATTCAGCCGGTCACATAGGAAAACGTTCATAATGCTTCCTATGGACGCTGGCGTGCTCTCACTGTGAAAATCACAGTGAGAAGCACGCAAGCGCCTCTAGTGGCTGTCAATGAGACAGCCACTAGAGGAAATAGGGGAAGGCTTAACACATTCATAAACATAGCAGTTTCTCTGAAACTGCTATGTTTATGAAAAAATGGGTTAACCCTAGCTGGACCAGGCACCCAGACCACTTCATTAAGCTGAAGTGGTCTGGGTGCCTAGAGTGGTCCTTTAATTTAAACAGAAGGAAACAAAAACAAAACACAACAAAGTGGGTGAGTAAAAGCTGGTTAGTAGGTAAGTATCTTGTTTAACCCCTTAAATAACTTAAGTTTAGTTGGACCAGCACTAAATGTACATACACACACACACACACACACACACGTCTCAAAACTAGAAACAACGTAAGAAAAAGACTAGCCTTATAAGGCTTCTCATAATGGGAGCATAGGGTCATCCAATAAATTGCTTAAACTAATGGTGGTTTTTTTTAAGACTGCTTGTTTTAGCCCAGGATTTGCCCTGTCCCCAATCTAGATTAACATAAATATACCAGGGTGAGAGTAAATACCTTATTGTCCGAGGCCAATAGACACAATATCTAAGGAGTAATATAGAGTCCTAACAAAGGTTAATTAGAAAGTTTGTAGGACAGTAAGATAAAAAGCCTCTCTCCCTGGTAAGCTAGCTAGATAGTTAGCAAAGACAGAATAAAAAGAGCGAGAGAATAATTAGATCAGTGATAACGCTGCATGTCTTTATTAAAGAGACATCCCAAGTGCATAGGTGATAGGTGCCAATACCCCTTACATTATTAGTTAGTGGAGAAGCCTTATAAGCAGTGGCATACATACCAGGGTCGCGGCTGCGACCGGGCCCAGGCCCACCAGGGGGCCCGGCCGCCCTGCGACCAGGTATGTACACTAAGTGGTGTCACGCGCCGGTCCTGCGGGTGCGCAAGGGAGCACTCTCCCCTGAGCGCTCTCTGCCCAGCTCCCTCGCGCACCGCAGTGATGCCGGAGCCGGAATATGACGTTATATTCCGGCTCCGGCATCAAAAAGCGGCGCGCAAGGGAGCTGGACAGAAAGCGCTCAGGGGAGAGTGCTCCCTCGCGCACCCGCAGGACCGGCCGCCGGGCAGCCCCACTGGACCCCAGGGAATCCCCTCAGTACTCCCAAAGGTAAGGAGGCTGGGGGATTAAAGTAAAAAAAAAAAGTGTGTGTGTGTTAGTATTAGAGTGTGTGTATTAGTATTAGAGTGTGTCAGTGTGTGTATGTCTGCTAGTGTCAGTGAGTGTGTTAGTTCTGTTAGTTTCTGTGTGTCTGTTATTGAGTGTGTGTGTGTGTGTGTGTGTGTTAGTGTGTCAGTGAGTGTGTTACTGTGTGTGTGTTACTGAGTGTGTTAGTTTGTGTGTGTCTGTTAGTGAGTCTGTTAGTGAGTGTGTGTTTGTCAGTGAGAGTGTATGTGTGTCTGTCAGTGAGTGTGTATGTATGTATGTCACTGAGTGTGTCTCTGTCAGTAAATGTGTTTGTCTGTTAGCTAGTGTGTATGCTTCTGTGTGTGTTTAAAACCCCTTCAGCACTTACCTTTCTCCAGTGCCGGACTCCCTTGGCACAGGGGATCCCTCCGCCCCGATCCGCCTCTCAGCTCCGAATGCGCATGTGCAGCAAGAGCTGTGCGCGCATTCACACCGCCCACAGGAAAGCATTACTCAATGCTTTCCTATGGATGTCCAGTGTCTTCTCACTGTGATTTTCACAGTAAGAATCGCGGAAGTGCCTCTAGTGGCTGTCACTGAGACAGCCACTACAGGCTGGATTAACCCTCAGTGTAAATATAGCAGTTTCTCTGAAACTGCTATGTTTTCAGCTGCAGGGTTAAAACTAGAGAGACCTGGCACCCAGACCACTTTACTTCACTTCAGACCAGGTACCCGCCGCCATGTGTTGCAGCCCCGGCCCGCGCAGAGAAAGCGCGGCGGGGGGTCCACGGATCAATTTTCGCACTGGTGCCCCATGGGTCGTGTGTACGCCACTGCTTATAAGACTGGACCCATGTGTGTGTATATATGTACATTTAGCTAAACTTAACAGTTATTTAAATAAGATACTTACCTACTATCCAGCTTTTACTCACCCACTTTGTTGTGGGTTGAGTGACTACATTTTTTTTTTGTTTCCTTCTTTTCATATATTATAGGGTTAAGCCCTGCAGACACAGCTGGAGTTTCTTTACTGGTGCATAGATCCTAAGTGGTGTTCCCTTAGGTATCTGATTATTTGTTTGGTTTATTAATTTAAACAGAGTTGCACATGGTTTGACCATTACAAGGCCAGACATACTGTATATCCAGAAAAGCCCCAGCATATTTTCTGGGGGTTCTTCTAATATAAGCCCCTCCCTGAAAATAAGCTCTAGCTGTTTGCTAATCTATGTTCCAGTGAATTTTCCCCGAAACATAGATTCACGGAATTCCATTCGCGAGTAAGCTTATCTATGTTCAGGGAAGTTTCCCCGAACATAGAAACGAAAAAGGTTCCATTTGCGAGTGAACTAATCTATGTTTGCGGAAGTTTCCCCAAACATAGATTTGCGGTATTCTATTAGCGAGTAAGCTAATCCATTTTCCGGGAATTTTCCCCGAACATAGATTTGCAGGATTCCGTGCCCTAGTGAATTGGTCTATGTTCGGGGAAATTCGCTGGAACATAGACCTCCATTCTAGCACACGTTTTCCCTGAAATAAGACCTTACCCGAAAATAAGCCCTAGTGGGTTTTTCGGGGGAAGAATTAATATAAGACCTGGGCTTATTTTCGGGGAAACAAGGTATGGTTTTCTATGCTCCGTATTCCTAAATAAAATCTGCTAAAAATGATCAGTTAGCCTGAAGATTACTTTCCGCTGATCACTGTGGAAAAGGTTGATGTGTCCATAAACCACTGAATGTGTCGAACCTTTCAGTACTATGCTGCTGGCCAAGAGGTCGAAGCTATATATTTATTAGCTCTGAAGAAAGCATCACACTGAAAACATAAACTGGTCTTGCTCCATGATAAAACTCACTGCCATTTACCAAATCTAAGGCAAGCAGCAGCTGGCAATACCATCCACTTTGTTTGGCACGTGACTAAAGAGGTTTTAAACCAAACTGGAAAATGTATTCTGAAAGAGAAAAATAAAAACCAAAGTTGGAGAATTTTTCCAACGTTTCTATTTTGGTGAATATTAGCGGTTTGATTTTAATCTCAACGTTAGTGAATAAAACCCTAGGAATTACAGATTGGGCTGGAAATGAAAACGCATTGGATGACTGAATTGTACATTAATAAAAGTGTACTATTTCCAGGGCCAAGATACTAGGGGTTTACCAAAGATCTTAAATCACAAATGAATAATAATGAAATGAGTAAAATAAGAGGGGAGAGGGGACATTATTATGTCAAGCTGGGAAATCTGGGAGAGTTGGATTTCTCTAGTTTCTGTGCCCAAGGAGAACTTCTCAAAGTCTGACTTGAGATAGGCCGATGATGTACAACAGTAACTTCTCTTGCAGTGAGATACTGCACTACTTTCAGGCTTGTGGCATGTTAAAGACCTGACAAGTTATGGGAGTCCTGACACAACATACATCACATAACTAAAAGGCCTCTGCTGCTACAGCAAATATGCATTGCAAGCTCATCTCCCCTATGGCGCAAAAATGTAACCGGGTGAGTGCATTCAGGAGTCAGGAGACAGCAGAGAGATACATGGAAACTGCAAATGTTTTTACATTTTCGTATATGAGGAAAGTTCCCCCAACTGAAACTATAACAAAAAAATAAAAATAGAAAACGGAAGGCTACAGCAATTTTCAGCAGCATGCAGAGAAATAAATGTAAACTGCAAATGTTTTTACACATACAAACAATTTAAAAAAAAATAGAAGACAGAAGACCACAGCAACTTACACTTACTAACCGTAGAAAACCGTTAGAACTGTAAATTGGAATTCAGCAGATATTTTGTGATTTGTTGGTCATTGTTTTTTTTTTAAAAAAAAAATGGCTATGGGGGGGTGGGGCCTGACGTGACGCTGGAAGGGAGCACAGTGCATCGGCTCCTCAGCAATTTTTCTCAAAAATAAATTAAACCACCTTTTCAAGCAGAATTTTGACTCTGAGTGAAGCTAATCAGAGGGGAAACTCTTAAACACATTTCTCTGTGAAAAATCAGCATCAATCCTGTTTTCAGAATGTAAGTGAAGCCAAATACAGGTAGTGCCAAAGAGAACAAATGAGATAAGAGGTTTAGAAGATCTCCAAAGACACAATGAAAATGCTATAAAAATATTCCTTGACATAAAAAATACCAGGTAGCAAGACACAGTCTAAAAGTAATATCTTTGTAAAGTGCTTGTGGGCAACTTCAGTCAATAGCAGCACATGGAAAAGAACACAAACAGGGGGAGACCAATAGTGCAAAATGATACCATACTGGGTAACACACTACACAAAGGTCTAAAGTGCCAACTCACATTCGGTAGAGCTATGACCAGCTCTGGATAAAAGAGCAAGCAGTGGTATTATATCCCCACTTGCAGGATGTTATTAGATGGAGCAGACTAACCAATCTCTGTATTAGGCGTGGGCGGTATAATCCCCACCTAGGATTTTTTTGTGCGGTCTTCTGTAGGAGTATCTGAAAATCAGTGCAGGGTACCAGGTAAAAAATAAAAATAGACAACACAAAAAATAGAAAAACTAAAAAGTATATGGCAGAGCAAAATAGTGTAGCCAAAAATACTGTACCAAGATACAGAATAAAACCACAACCACTTCACCCTCTTGGGGCCCTTTAAAGGGCATAATCCACTAATAATCAACTAATATTCGGGTTGAAAGAATTTCAACCACAGGATGAGGAGAATGTGAAGTTCCTCTGTCTTTAGAGAAGGAAGTAGTTATTGTAAGATCGTAGATTTATTAGTCAAAAGGCAATTCCAAAAAAACTCCACTAATATCCCAAAGATATTTTTCTTCTTGGAAAGTAAATAAAAGTATCTAAATGTGACAAGTAGTGCACCTTATAAAATTGTTCAACAGCTTGAAGAATGATGCGAAAATGTGTTTTTAAAAGTTCACCAGATCTGCATAAATACAGGGGATCTCCATGGACCCAGTTTAATGTGAGATTGAGGCAATAAGAGACCTAGTACCCTACATGAGGGGATAGAAATAAAAAGCCTACACATTAACTATTGCTATATAACCAGTTTTTCAATAGGGGAAGGTAACACAGCATGTAAGCCTCCCCTATATCACTACCAAACCCATTAAAAAAGAGCACTCTCGCACATATGCTATGCTACCAAGCTATTTTTGACTTCTACCAGCATCTAAAATTTCTCCTGTCACCCCTTGACATTTTATGTAAAATTAGAGTCCTGAATCCAACTACAGGGAGATTTGCAATTCTTAGCTTAACTAAGAAGATTAAAAGTAAATGCATTAAAAACACTTTTTTTTCTCTTTATTTTCTCCAATTACTGAACACAAACTATACCCTCCCCTTGGCCCCTGGATGCACAATTTGTTTAGAAGTGAACTGCTCTCTGTTAAGTTGTCCTAATTACTGTACAAAGGCCAACAGAGGCCTTAATACACAAACCGGGATAATTATTATGAGTGAGATCCCCGGACAGATAGAAATGCAGAGCTTACCATTTTTCCATAGAAACGATAATGATATTAGAAGATTCCTTGTTTTATAAAGTCTTTTAAAGAGGACCATCACCAGATTTAATTATGGACTTTGGAAAGGAATATGGAGATTTTTTTTATTTTTTACTACCACAAAAAAAATATATGTATATTTTTTTTAAGGTTTACTTTCACTTATTTCGCTCACTACTCCCACAACCTCTACAAAAATGAATAGTAAAAACTTTTGCTCTGCATTGGACACAGTAAGTGATTTTTCTATGTAATACAATGGAAGACTTCTTTCTTTTGGAGCAATGCATATGATCTGAGCACTAAGAGGTTCATAAGTTATAGAAATGCCAATAAACTGTTTGTTTTGTTATAGATCTCAGAGACCCATTATTGAGCAGCCCCGGGACTCACCATTTTAATGGATAATGAAGGGGATTAGTTGACCATTTGGGAGGTTACGTTTGAAAATAAACGTATAAAAAATATTTTATTTATTTATTTTTAATACTGTGTGTTCCCTTGGGAACCCAACTAAAATGTTTTGTTAACCTACAGTTTTAAAATTAGAGATATAATTGAAAAAAATAATAATAATGTCACCAAATATTGATTTATAATTTATATATAAAACAAAAATTTCCACTCACCACTAGAAAGTACAAATTTACCCTGGCGAGTAGAAAGTCACCCAGAGTGAGTGTGCCATGGACTCTCCAGGCTGGCTAAGGCAAGTAACATTTTATGCCTGGCTAATAGCCTAAGATTTGAAATTTAGAGCACATACACAGACACACAGACAGCATTGATGTATCTTAGGGCTAGTATTTAATATCAGGAACAAGTTTTACTTGGAAAGAGTCACTAGAATGTTAGAACAAAATTCAGAAATTATATTTTGCGGCATTTGTATGTGTGAGCTGCCTGGCATACATCAAGCTCTCCTACACAGACAGATGTTATTAGTGAACCTATCAATTATTTTGTAAAATGGATGCTAGCTCTGTAGATTTCAAAGCTTGGGTGAATTGGGACTTTAAGTGGTAATACGTAACATATAAAGAATATAACCAGGATTCTTAAAAATTAACCAAGTCAAAACGAAATTCTGGGATCTACGCAACATCTCCGCTTGACTTTAATGCCTAGATATGATTCACTTGCCTGTGAGAATATAGTCTTTTTCTTCCTTTGAATCGGCTAACTCACAGTGTTGGCTGAGAAAATGTTTAGGATTTGTGGAACTTCAAGTGCTCTGATAATTCTAGCTTACTAGTTGTGATCATAAGAGAGTAAAGGAAGTTGTTATCTAGAGACGTTTATTTAGCATATTTACTAAATGACTTACTACAAAATAAATGGCTTTAACTTGTTCATTGATGCTTGGACATCATGGAAAAAAATAAACAAAAGTTGACAGCAGGACAAAGTTACTAGTCATGCGAATGTAGGCGATATTACAAAAATGTATTGAGAAAGAGAGAACGAGAAGAAGGGGGTAAAAAGGAAGACAAATACAATGAATGATAAGCATGTATTAAAGTTCGGTGTTTGTAAAAGTAACCCTTTATCTAGTTACTGTGGGAAACAGATGATACTGTTGGGCCTTGATCTTGATGAGTGTGGGGTTATAATGTCACAAATAAATAGTGCAGGGAATATTCATAGTATGTTTATACATTAATGGCAAATTAATTTAGTAATAAAGTGACATATTAACTGCTTTTTTGCCTAGCACGCCGGAATGTCTTCGTGGATAAAAAAGGGTTAATATGCACAAATCTCATTTTTCTAGGTTATTTTTGCATCAAAATTAAGAAAGCTTAGAAGGACAGAGATACTACGAACTGAAAAATACATGTAAAATCAGTAGGTACACCTCCCTTCTCATATACTTACTTTCAACCATGATCTGGCAGGCAGTTAGGATGAGAATAGAACATTGCAGAATTCTATGGACCCAGCAGGTGCTGTGGAAAGACATATCCTCTGCAGTCCCAGTGTCAAATGAAGGATAACTTTCCTGTAGTATTTTCCTGCTCAGTCTCTGCAGTGGTGACACACTGATCTGGCTCTGTGCTAGTGGGAAGTTTTGGTCCAGCTTCCCCCCTCCACCTCCAAAAGTCTTGTAATGAGCTTTCAGCATCACTCAGCACTTTTCAAGGTGGTCCTAAAAGAGGGGGCCGGGCCTTCTGACAGCAAATAGGCTTAGGAGTTCAAGACACAGCATGCTATGCTCTTATCAATTCAAATGTGAGATCCAGTGTTACAATTGTGTGAATTCTGCCAAATCCTGGGAAATTTCACAAACACTGTAGGAAGGCAAATAGGTGCCTCTGCTATTCAATTCGGCTTCATTAGCTTGTCGGGGCCCTTGAATGGCATTTGGGCACCCTATCCCCACAGCCATTGTTAATGAAGCTTAGTCCATAAATATTTGGACACCAGCATGCATTAAGCTGTTTCCTTCCTCTGTATTCTAGTACGTTTGATTTTAGATTAAACAATGACAAAGAGGATAAAGTGCAAAGAATGCGCTTTAATTTAATTACTATGGAGGACAGTCACTAGAGGTTGTCTTAACTCTACCTTGTAAACATCGCAGGTTACATTGCAGGGTTGAGGGGAGTGCGGCACAGGTGCAGGGTTAAGGTGACAGGTGCCTATAGTGTCCCTTTAAGACCACCATTTCCCTGTAGTACCCAAATATTGGTGGGTCCTACACTAATTTTAACGAATTTGGTGTCCTAGGGTACAACACCGAATGATATAGGTCTGCCTACCTCAACACCAACAGCTCAAATATGCTTCAGATCGACAATGAACACTGTTAAGTTTTACACATTATACCCATATCAAAGCTCACAGTTAGGAAAGGTCCCGTGTCTTGCCAATATGCGACTCCACATAATATTTTTAGAGAAGGTTTTCAAATAATTTTATATTTTCTTTGATAAACTTTTTAAAAAATATTTTAATATTTTGAATAATTTAATTAGTTTGATATATGAATTTTAAAAAAAAGACCAAAAAAAAATAAAAAATACTTAATCCAGACATATTAATTTTGAAATTTGAAAAACTATTATTCTTTATTGTTTGTGAAGTAACTGTACATTCCATTGTAGAACAGGAATAAGGCATGCATGATACACACATAAACAGTGCAATCAAATACCACACAGAAGCTTTCTTAAACGATGATCACATTTGGTAATTTGCCTGCCTCAGACCCATGTTTCTATTTGTATTAACCAGAATTGTCACAGAGGGTGTGAGCAACACTTATCTAAAAACAGTTCTCTAAAAACAGTTGGAAATTGAACATTTTAAGGGAACGTGGTCAGTTTTGAAAAATTCCTGAATTGATCAATTCTTCCAACTTGCCTTTTATGGTCCATATTTTAAACTCCATTGAGTAAAAAAAAAAAAAAAAAAAGCAGCTGGGACCTGGCCAAATTCAGTAATAATTGGCATTATAATGATGCAGTAATGCTTGTTACACAGAGCTATGGTGTGTCAGGTAGCTATTCTGCTGTCTAACACGTCACACAGTCATAAAAACATCAGATGAAGCAACTTCACCCAATGCCCTGCAGAGCAATATAAGCAAGCAGAAGGACATAGATATTAGTGGTCCTCAATGCTAGACCGGGGTAGGCACTCTTACAGCCATTATGCTAGCAAAGAGTCAGGGGAGATGTAGTCCATAACATCTTGAGTGACGAGGGTTGCCTACTCCTGCGCTAGGCCATTAGAAGATGAAAAATGGCATCAGACTTCCTGTCTCACAAAACAGTAATTGGAGGAAGCAAATGTATTGGATGCATGAATATCAAGTGTGACTGGACATGGCTTCAAATGGACATCTCTCAAAAATGATTACTTTATAGTTTTACCTTATGTGGGGACCATACTTCAGGCCCTCTAAGGGTTTTAAAATGATCATTAAATGCATATAAAGCAGATCTAATTTGGGGATCTTTATTTGTGGGGTGGTTTATAGAATGTGTCAGCAATGTTGATCAACCCGAGTCTACAACAGTCTCAGAATTTAACAAAGAAAGCTGCACAATGCAGAATATGGTAAGACCAGTCAATAAACCACCACAATCGCTATAAAACCTCAGAACACACTAAGCCTGCACGACATTATAACTAAACTAGCAGTCTTTGTTAAGGGAACACTATAGTGTCAGGAATAGAGCCATGTATTCCTGACACTATAGCCCTGGTATGGCTATTTAGGACCCAAATCCTAATGTGCTGAAAAGGTGGGTTTCCCCACCTTTTTCCCCACGCCACGCCAGTCTATCCACGACTGGCTCCTCCTCCATGGCTGAGATCAAACATGATCTCAGACAATCCATTGCTTTCCCGTAGAAAAGCATTGGGAGGCGATAAAGCATGCACAGCAAAACACTGCCCCAATCGCCATCTCCTCATAGAGGTGCATTATATCAATGCATATTTAAATGGAATGTTCAGAGTCTCTATGTAGACTAGGGCTTGACAAATTTGTTTAGAATATAGGAGCCAGCTAAAAAAGTTAGGAGCCAGTCATTTTCAACGAGAAAGTGCCATTCTTAAAGGGACACTATAGTCACCAGAACCACTACAGCTTGATGTAGTTGTTCTGGTGTCTATAGCCTGTCCCTGCAGGCGTTTCAGTGTAAACACTGCCTTTTATGCGAAAGGCAGAGTTTACATTGCTGCTTACTAACACCTCTAATGACAGTGACTCAGATGGTCACTATAGAGTCCTGGGTCACTGCTGCACCACGTGCAACACCCAAGTTCAGTGTTTCCAAGCTCTGCAAGGAGGCGCTGAATGTTCCTCATAGAGATTGGTTAATGTAATGCATCTCTATGAGGAGATGTGGATTGGTACATTTGCTGCCCATGCACAAAATCCTCCCAATGCTTTCCTAAGGGAAAGCATTGCCTTAGCTGAGATCATAAAGATTGATCATCTCAGCCATGGCAAAACTGGAACGGCGTTTTGAAAGTGGGAAGAAAGGTGAGTAAAAAACACCTTCCTCATGCGATCGGAGGAGGAACGTACCTAAACGTGCACGCACACACTGACTGGCTCTCACACACACTATGACAGGCTCACATACACACTCATGCTGACAACAGGCTTGCACGCACACACTGACAGGAGCTCACACACACTCTTGACAGGCTGTCGCTCACACACACACACACACACACAGACACTCTGACAGACTCTCTCACACACACATACAGATACTGACAAGCTCTCACACACACACACACACACTGACAGGCTCTCTCACAAACACACACACAGTCTGACAGGCTCTCTCACAAACACACACACAGTCTGACAGGCTCTCTCACAAATACACACACAGTCTGACAGGCTCTCTCACAAATACACACAGTCTGACAGGCTCACACACAGGCACACATTTATGTTTGAATTGAAACCCACTCAGCCTCCCAACCTTTGGGAGAGCTGAGAGTGTCTTTCCTGGGGTCCAGTGGGGCTTCTCTCTGTGTGCGAAGGAGCAGTACTCTGCCTGTAGCTCCTCTCTGCTCCCTCACGCTCTGTAATGATGCCGGGGCCGGAATGACGTCATATTACGGATCCCGACATCATTGCAGAGAGCAGATGCAAACAGAGTACAGCTCCCTCACGTGCTGCCCGTAATGCTCCCGCAGGCGGGCCGCATCCTCCATGTACCCGCGGGCAGCATCCTCCATGTACCCGCAGGCGGGTGGGCAGCATCCTCCATGTACCCGCAGGCAGCGTCAAAGCTCCCTCCAACACTAGAGAGCTGGCAAATCCCAGACGCCAGGGCGAAATTTCTAGTCGCCGTGGCGATCTGGCGCCTGGGATTTGTCGAGCCCTGATGTAGACCATGGAAACGCTGAATGCCAGTACTGCACACTGTGCAGCACTGGACTAGGAAACACCTCTACTGGCCATCTGAGTGACTACCACTAGAGATGTTCCTAAGCAGTAATGTAAACACTGTATTTTCTTTGTTTACATTTAAAGGCCTGCAGGGACATGCTAAAACCAACAGAACACCTACATTAACCCCTTAAGGACACATGGCATGTGTGACATGTCATGATTCCCTTTTATTCCAGAAGTTTGGTCCTTAAGGGGTTAAGCCTCATTGTATTAGCCATGTGTGACTAATATGGCTTTATAAACAAATTAGTAAATGTAATACTGTTTCTGGGAAGGTAAACTATGTACCCCTGACTTTCTTCTGAGTAATTTAGAATAATTGCAAAATACATTGGTTAACAGATTTTACACATGATCATGGGTAACCATTTTGAAATTATTCTAATTTAGGTTTGAGAAGAACAAGGTGGTCGTGCAGCCAGCAAGAGGCTGTTAATAGTGAGTGCATTTCAGAGATCTGGTGTAGAGGAATGATATGTGTTTCTCAGATTATCACCTGTAACACCACAGGCAATGTTGTACATGGAAAGTATACAAGCGTGCAAACGATTCCTTATTTAATTACAATAGTTTGCTCCATAGAACAGAGGAAGTTAACGGATAAATATCACTTAAAACACAAGCAATGCTCGAGAAGCAAACATGTTAAAACAGATTGGTGTCAAAGTAATGTTATTGGAAAAATAATATACATCTATTCCTTATTTGTTTCTGTGTAACCAAATGCATGACCAGCTGTCCATACAAGTGATTGCCAGGGGGAAAGGTCTTCACACAGTTAGCCTTTATCTGTCCTGCTGGAGCTGTGTGAACGGGAGTCTTTGTAGGTCAAAGCACTAAATTTAGACATTGTGCTTGTGTCTGCAAATGTTATCCATCACTTGCACCTATAGACATTTCTGGCATCTTTGCAGTCACACACAGATACATGCAGAAAGGCACACACACCGTTACAGGCAAACAGTCTCACATACAGTTACATGCAGACAGACACAGACACACACACACACCGTTAGAGGCAGTCACACACACACACACACACACACCGTTAGAGGCAGACAGTCTCACACACACACACACACACACCCCCCGTTAGAGGCAGTCTCACACACACACACACCCACACCCCCCGTTAGAGGCAGTCTCACACACATACACATACACACACACACACACCGTTAGAGGCAGACAGCCTCACACACACCGTTAGAGGCAGACAGTCTCTCACACACACACACACACACACAC